TGGATAGCGTAGGGCCTGGAGTCAGGAAGACCTGAGTTCAAATTTGATCTGAGACACATACTAGCTGTGTGACCCTGGGAAAATCACTTAACCTCTGTTTGCCTCAGTTTCCTCATTTGTAAAATAGGGATAATAATAGCACCTGCCTCCCAGGGTTTTTGTGAGGGTCGAATGAGAAAAAAATTTTAAAGCGCTCAGCACAGTGCCTGGCACATAGTAAATACAACAGAAATGTGAGCTATTATTATTATTTATATTCTTATCACTTAATACTTTACTTTGCACATAATAAGCACTTGATAAATACTTTTTTTCATATATTCATATCACTTACATCATATGCACAATTATTTGTGTACCTATCTTCTAATCTGGATTGTAGATTCCTAAAGTTCAGGGATGATGTCATCCATGGGACAGCAGAGGCATTAAACATGCAGCCCACAAAATTGCAACCAGATTAAAATGTAATTGGGAAATGCTAAACAGAATAAATAAAAATAAAAGTCAATATGATGTTAATTTCAGTTTTCTAATGTTTCTATATGAGTTTGACCCACTTGAATAGAGTGCTATACTTGAAGTCTGGAAGATACAGGATCAAATGCTGCCCTTGTCTGATGCTTACCTGATGTATATATAGCCCTGGACAAGTCACTTAACCTCTCTGTGCCTCAGTTTGCTCATCTGCAAAATGGGGATAATATCTGTAAGCACCTACATCAAAAGGCTGTGAAGATCAAATGAGATGATTATAAAGCGCTTTGTAAATATTTCAGTTCTCTGTAAACGCTGGCTTTTATTATATAAACGATGCATCCTCTGCAGAGCCTAAAGTACCCCCTATGCACATGGTACATACATCAAATACTTGTCCAAAGCCAAACTCCATGTTTCCTCCAAAACTTGCAAACTCTCCCCACTATTCTCCCAGTTACCTGGGTTGAATGAAATCATCTTTTGACTTCTCCCAGTAGTCCCATGTCTAGTTAGCCACCAAATCCTGCCAACTCTACCTTTGTTATTATCTCTCACTCTTTTCCCTTCCCACCCTTTCTCTGGGCCCTCATTACCTCTCACATGAACTATTACAAGGACTTCCAGTCTTCCTGCCTCTGGTTTCTTCCCCCTCCAATTCACTGGATGACCATTCAGTGCTTGCTATTTACAATGCACTATGCTGGGCATAAGGGAAAATATTAAGAGAAATAAATAAGATTTATTAAGATACATAAGATTCTTTCCCTCCATCTTATAGTCTAGTAGAGAAATTGAGTCACATATACTACAAAAATAAATATGGGCATAAGAGGTACAATTATACATTCTTACCAACAGCACTTAATATGTATCAGCATTATGTTAGATAATGCAGATAGAAATATAAAAACAAATATGTTCCTGCCCTAAGAAATTTACAAGGGAAAGTAACATAATAACACATAAAGAAATATAAAATATACATAATTTCCTTGTGAGGAGGGCACTAGCAACTTAGGTAGATGAGGACAGACCTTGTGTAGGAGATAGCATTTGAATTTAACCATTAAAGAAGCTAGGGATTCTTTGTGGAAGCTGAAGAGGGAAAGCATTCCAAGTCAGAGCAAGCAGGAAGGAGATGAACTATCCAACACGGAGAGTATGAAGTATGCTAGGCTGGAGTGTTAAGTCCATGAGGTGGAGCGATACGTGACTAATCGGGAAAAATTGGTTGGAGCCAGATTATGAACAACTTCAAACGCTCAGCAGAGGAGATTGTATTTTACCCTAGAGGTAAGAGCGACATGGTCAGACCTGTGCTTTAGGACTATCAATTTGGTAGATGTATGGAAGATGAATCAGAAAGAGGAGAGACAAGGCAGGAAGACCAATTAAGAGGTTGTTGCAATAGTCCAAGCAAGAAACGATGAGCTTGAACTAAGGTGGTGGCCATATGAGTAGAGAGGGGATGGGTACAAGAGATGCTTTGGTAACAGAATCAACAAGACTAGGCAATCGATTGGATATGAGAGGTGAAGGAAAATGAAGAGTCAGAGGGTAACGAGAAGGATGATGGTGGCCTCAAAAGATATCGGGAAGTTAGGTAGAGAAAAGGGTTTGGGGAAAATATAATAATGGTAAGCTAACATTTATAAAGTGCTTACTATATGCCAGGCACTATGCTAAGCACTTGACAAAAAGACTGTTTTGAACATGTTAAATTTGAGCTGCTTAGTGGATATTCAATTATACAATAGATACAATATATAATAGACTATTGGTGATGTGGGCCTTAAGTTATATTCGCAGAGATGTTGAACCTACGGGAGCTGAGATCACCAAGGAAGTAGAGAAGAAAGCCTGGGGTATATAAACACATCATGGCAAATTACAGATGATTAGCTAGCAAAGGACACTGAGAGCAGTCAGACAAGTAGAAAGAGAATCAGGAGAGAGGAAGGGCACAAAAACCCAGAGAAGAGAGAGGATCCAAGAGGAGGTGGGCAAGAATAGCAGATGCTGCAAAGGTCAAGAGGAATGAAGATTGAGGACACACTATTTGAAATAGCAGCATCTGATACTCCTGGAGAGAAGTTTCAGCCGAGTGATGAAGTCGGAAACCAGAATATAAGAGAATGAGAAGTGAGAGGTCAGGAAATGGGAAGAATGAGTATAGATAGGTTTTTGTAGGAGTTCTGTTCTGAAAGCAAGGAGAGATTATAGGGTGATAGTTTGGGGAGATAGATCAAGTGAAGGTTTTATAAGGATGAGGGAAAGAGACACATTTGTAGGACATTTTAATGATGTTGAGATCAAGGGTTTAAATCATATGCGTATGTAACAGATATCGAGTAAAGGTCTTGGTTATGGGACGCAAGGTTGATAACTTGGAGGCCAGTATGTTGAGGGGACATCAACATGTTTTACTGATGTTTCCAAGTATAAGGGCAGGGGCTAGAGTGGAGAAGACTGTAAGTAGAGACAAAGCACATATCCAGGATCTGGATAAGATGCTATTTCTGGATGGTGAAAACCTCAAAGGAGAGGCTAACTGATGGTGGCTGAGAAAGGGTGCCTGGAAGTGGCAGTGGGGAGCAAGGAATCTGCCCCTCTTCCTGGTCCATCATGTCAGAGAGCACAAGAGAAGGTGTATCTGCTACTAGAGATTCCCCTTCGTGGGGAAACCAGGTTTTCTTGAGTGCTGGAACATGAAATGGGTGCAGTAGAAAAAGGTACTAGATGAAGGGAAGTGTGTGTAAACAATGGAAGGGTTCCACAGGGCACAATGATAGGGGAAGGAAAGGGTTGAGGAATATGGGATTGAGAACAGCAGTGGCAACAAGGGAGTGACAGATTTTTCATTTGGCAGCTAGCAGTCCAATATCACTGGGATTAGGATGGAAATCAACTTATTGTGTCTATGGGGATGGATCTTCCTAATATATAGCTGTCACCTGACCCACCCTACCCCGACTCCGCCTCGAAAATCTTTTAATGGTTTCCCATTGCCGGAATAAAGTCTAGACTCCTTAGCCCAGCATTCAAGGCGCTCATCTGCTCCTAACCTACTTATTTAACTTCATTTCACATCACTTGCCCCTTTACTAAACAAATCATATTCCTCAAACATGTTCTAAACTTTCCCAACTGTTGTAACTTTCCTTAACTTAGTTCCTTGTTCTCAGAGTGTCCTTTCCATGTCTGTCTGATCAAAATCTTAATTGTGGTTTAGGGCTCAGCTCAAATGGCAGCTCCTCCATGAAATCTTCCCTTATACTCACAGCCATAAATGACGTCTCCCTCTCATGAATGCCCAGAGTTGCACTTCTCTCATGCAATTAACATTCCACTGTAATCATTTGTGTTCTTATCTCCTCTACTAGACTTAAGCCATCCTCTTGGCCTAGTTCTATTCAACTCTTTTATCAGTGACTTGGATGATGGAGGCATGCTTATCAAATGTGCTTACGATATGAAGCTGGGATAACATTTTGGATAATTGGATCAGGATCCAAAGTGATCTTCTGGATCCCTCATGGGAGCCAGAATGGTGGTCAAACCTAGTAAGAGAGAAATGTGAAGTTGTGTACTTGAGTTAAAAAAAATCAACTATAAGCTGTGTGACCCTGGGTGAGTCACTTAACCCCAATTACCTAAATTAAAAAAAAAAAATTCAACTATACAAATACAGAATGGGAAAGACAGGGAGACGTTCATATAAAAAATATCTGTGAGATCAGTAAACTATAAGATCAGTGTATCAACAGTGAGACAGGGCTCCCCCAAAAGCTAATGCAACCTAAGAGCGTAGTAATAAAAACAGAGCGTCCAGAATGAAAGGTTACAGAATGCTCTGGTCAGACCACATAGGGACTATTAGTTCTGCATTTAGGAGGGCATTTTCAAGCCAGAGTGTGACCAAGATGGTGAAAGAACTAGAGAGCTTTCTATTCAAGGATGATCTGAAACAATCCATGTTTAGCTGAAAATAGTCATCTTCAGGTATTTGAAGGGCTATAATGTGTAAGAGGAACTAGACTTCCTTAGCTTTGCCCAACGGGGCAAAATTAAGAGCAAGGGGAATAGGAGTAATGTTTCTGGGTCAAGATTACAGGAAAACTGACAATTAAGAGTTATCCAACAATGGAATTACCTCAAGAAGTAATGATTCTAAATTACTCGATGTCTTCAAATAAATGCTGGATTGACCACTTGTCAGGGACATTTTAGAACAGTGATGTCAAACTCAAAAAGAAATGGCAGCCATTAATCCACACATAAAGATACCTGTGAGCGCATATTGACAAATTTTAAAACATAATGTTACACTTTATTGCATTTTTATTTTGTTAAATATTTCCCAATTACATCTTAATCTGATTCAGGTAGCACTCAGGAGTGTTGTGAAGGTCAAGTATTTGACACCTGTGTTGGAGAAGGTATTTTTTTTTTTTTTTTTTTTGCTGGGCAATGGGATTAAGTGACTTGCCCAGGGTCACACAACTAGTAAGTGTAATGTGTCCAAGGCCGGATTTGAACTCAGGTCCTCCTGACTCCAGGGCTGGTGCTCTATCCACTGTGCCACCGAGCTGCCCTGGGAGAAGGTATTCTTGCTCAGGTATGTAAGGCTACAAGACATCTAAATGTCCTTCCTCTGAGATTCTGATTTTATGCTAAGGGCAGGAATTCTTCCTCAATTAGTTACATCTTCAGTGCCTAACATACTACATTGTATAGAGGAGGTACTTATTAAACATTTGTTGAACTAATGTGCCTTTAGCCCTTTAGAAAGCTGCCATCCCCCTAGGGACATTCAAATGTACGGTGAGTGTCAGACTCCACTGTAGGGAGAGAACCTATCCAAGAGCTAAGATGCTATGCTGGGAGGAATCTTCCCAGGTTCCAGTTCCAGCTCAACTAATGCACAACTACAATAGGTACATAATTGGAATGAGCCACTGATGGTGCTATCCCTCAATTTTGTTCCCAAGTAGTGGACAATACAGTTTTCTACAAACTTTTCTAAATAAAAAATGATGATAACAATGATAAATGGCCGTAACAGTTGTTATCTTTTATTCAACTGTGAGTTCTTACCTAGCAACACAAAGGAAATGCTGAAATAGAGCAAGCCCATGGTCTGAGGCTTGATAGGGCAAGAAGGGTTTGAAGGAATAGCAGGCAGCCCTCCTGTACTGGAGTAGGCATGTCAGGGTGGGGTTCACTCAGAACTGAATCTGCCACCATCCAACCTGCCTGCCCCCCCTCTCCCCAACCCCTGTCTGACTAGCATGGTGACTTCCACTTCTGGAATTCACCCCACCCAGCTCACTGCTTTTCAGTTCACACTATCAATGGGATACACTTTGCCAGCTCTCCTCCCATCCTGCTTTAGGCAAAATGAGATACTTGCAGAGAGCATCTCCAGGCTGTAGAGAAGGAAAGTTTACACACCCTTTGGTAGTGTCCAAACCTATTTCCCTACAGGCAAATTGTTTGTTTAGCAAGCTCCTTTCTCTATGCTGCCAATCCAACATAATCCATTATCATCAGCCCCACTCCCCCACCTCCACCTTGAAAAATTCTGTTTCAAGTATCAGACATCAATTCTTCCTCCTGCCTGGAGGGAAGGTGAAAAGGGAAAAAAAAAAAGGCAAGGGGAGCTCTTCTCACCTGACAGATGGCACAGAACAGCTAAATCATAAAGGGAAGTAGATTCCCTGGTCAGCCAGTAGACAAGCACCTATCCTGACTCCCAGATTCTAATGACCAGACACCCCATAAATACTTATACACAAGAAGGTCTAGGAAATACAAGTTAGGTCAGGAAAATGAAAACCAAGGTTAGAAATGCAGATAGATAAACACCAAAAATAATTACTCCCAACACAAAGTGACTTGATACTAAAAATGTCATAGAATGCACACAACAGTAGAGAAGAACACTGGGGAGAACCTAGAGAGAAAACAGGGACTATGAAGGTAATAGAACTTCATGGTTTTAAATCCATACTGCTGAACTGCTGTCCCAATCTCTTCAACCAAATTGGCTTGGACTTTCATTACTACATCACATTGTTGTGAGGATCAACTGATAGTGTATATAAAGTGCTCTGTTAACTGTAAAATGTCATGTAAATTTTGGCAGTTACCATAATTTGAAGTTTTAAAATTGTTTTCAATAACATAATTTCAAATATAATCCTTTTCCTTCTGTGGAAAAAATCATGTAAGTGCAAAGCTGGTAAATGAATATAAAATGTGAGCTGGAATTTTAAAAAGGTATATCTTGAAAAAGAAAACCATGTTGCCTAGCTAATTCCCCTTTAAGGAGCCAGGCTCACAAGTTCTGGGTGGCTTCACAACCAGTAACCTCCAAGTGACTTAAACAGACAAAGCAGTAAGGTGCCTGCCAGTTCATTACTAAATGCAACAACTCCTCTTCCTCGCTGAAGCTTCCCTCCAGAGACAGCTAGTTGGTTCTGAAGAAAATGTACAGCACTGGCAGCATAGCAGCAAACATGGTACAAGTTAGCACAGTGCTGTACATAGAGTTCCTGTTGACTTGGGCCTCCAACCTCTGCTCCATGTCTGACAGTTCTAGAATCATGCCCTGGGCAACCAGGGACTGCCTGGGGTCCAGTGAAGAGTCTAGCAAAGCTTGGTTTGCTTGCTCTACAAGCTGAGAACGGGCTGTAGCCTTTACAAGCTGAACCTCTGCAACCATTTGACTGAATTTTTTGTCCAGGTCAGTAAGCTGCTCTTGTAAACTCTGCAGACATGAACGAACCTGCTGAGATTGGCTGAGCTGTTCTTTCAAAGAGGCTGAAAGTACATATGTATCTTTATGAGATATGAGACTCTCTCCAGAAGAAGTGGCATCTTCTTGAGCTCCAGAAGACACCCTGATTCCAGTGTGCACTAAACTCCTAAATTCTTCAATAAGGTCACTAAGATCCTTGCTCTGCATGTTGTGGCTGGAAGTTTGTTCTTTGACGGCCTCCTGCAGACTCACCGGTCCAGTCTGCGATTCTAGAAGCAATGACTTGAGTTCCTGCAACCGTACCCGATTCACATAGGTGGAGCCAGCAACACCAATCAAGGCCCCGAGAACCGAACCAATGAGTGACCAGTTCTTCGTTTTTTCAGCTCTTGTCCGCTCTTTCTCGTGACTTTCCCTCACGGCTGCAGAGAAGAGGGAAAACTTCTCTCGTTCTGACTCTTCTGAGTTAGCGTGGGCTGTTCGGAGTCTCTTCTCTTCCTGCAGAAACAACAAACAATTAAAGCTATAAAGTTTCTGTCAATGGAAACCCAAAGAAGTAGGATATGAATACAGAACTTCATCCCTCACCCCTCCATCAAAGACATAGATGGGGAGGGGGTAGGGAAGACATATGCCCTGATTGTGAACCATGAAGGACTAAGATGGGAGATGCAAATTACCTCATCAAAAATCTGTGAAGTATCTACTATGGGACTAGGCATGGAGAATACAATAATGAAAAACAACACAATTCCAGCCCTCACAAAGTTTATGTTACAGGGGCACAGGCACAACCTTTTGCGCTGTGGGAAAACATGGGTAGTGATCACTTTTGGCAGGAATAGGATCTGGGAAGATTTCATAGACAAAGCGGCACTTGAGTTAGTTTTTAGAAAGGAGGAATGAATACATTGCCAACATGAGAGGTCTTTACAAATATACAGAGGTGGGAAAATCAGGATCAGGATCATCTAATCACAGCTGCAGGCTAAAACGCCTAGAGTACCTGTCTTCCTCATTTCATAAATGGGGTCAGTTAATAGTTTGAATGGAAAATAAAGTACATGAGTGGCACTGTATGAAATAAGACTGAAAAGACAACATGGAGCTGTGTGATGGAGGGCCTTCCATGCCAGGGTAAAGCAATCTGTTTTTTATCCTAAAGGAAGTAAGAACCTCCTCAGTTTTTGAGTTCTTAGGAAGATGATCAGATCAATGCATTAGGAATGTCAGTTCAGCAGCTGTGTGATGGACAGATTTGTGAGGATTAAGCCTTGAAATAGAACAGCAAGGCTACTACAACTGTCCATACCACCACAAATGAAGGCCTGAACTGGGATAGTGGCAATGTGGGTAAAGAAGACAGGACATATATGAACAATACTGTCTAAGTAAAAAATGGCAGGACTTAGCAGCTGACTGGATATGAGAAGTGAGACAAAGGGAAGAATCAAAGATGACCCCAAGATTTGGAATGGGAGAGAATGGGGGAATGGTGGTGCCCCACCAAAAGAAAAAATGAGAAAGTAAGAAGACAGAGACAAGTTTTAGGGGAAAATGATGAGTTCAGTTGTGATCATCTTGAATTTGAGGTGTCAGCAGTATACACGTACTTTATTACCAGGCAGCTAAAGACATAAGATTGGAATTTAGGTGAAAGACTGAGATTGATATATAGATTTAGGAGTTACCTGCAGAAAGATGATAATTGAAGCCATAAAAGTAAATGAGATTGCTAAGGAAAAGATGGCATATGCTACAGAAAAGTCAAGGAAGATTAGGACTGAAAAGCTATAGAGTGCACAATTAGGAAGTCACCAATAACCCTGAAGAGAGCTGTTTCAATGGAGTGGTAGGGATGAAAGTCAGACTACAGAGACAGGTGACAAGAAAGTACAAACTGCAAGTATAGGTTCTTTTTCAGAGTTTAGCAAAGAAGGAGAAGAGCAGGGGTGGGGAATCCTCGGCCTCAAGGCCACATGTGGCCTTCTAGGTCCTTGGGTGTGGCCTTTTGACTGAGTCTAAGTTTTATAAAACAAATCCTTTTATGAAGATAATTTATTCTGTAAAGTTTGGAGTCAAAGGGCCACAGAAGAGTAATATAGCTTGAGGGGTTGACAAGATCAAGACTTGGGTGGGTTGGTTGTTTTTTTGGGGAGATAAGACTAAGTTATGTTTTTAGGCAATTGGGAATGAGCCAGTAGAGGAGAGCAAATAATATTTGAATTTAGCTGGTTAATAAGGAAGTGTTCAAAGCTACCCATCAATATTATTTTATCAACGTTAATATATTAGTGAATGACAATAGGATACTAATAGAGTACTTATTATAACAGTGATTCCTTTCCTGTTCTTCTCTAAGTTCTATCAGTGCTCTTTGAAGACATTAATGACCAAGTCACAAAATAAATTGCTTTTGCAAAGTTTAACCATTCAAACCTAATTTATTTCCAGAAGCAAACACATCTACCATTTCTCCTGAGTGTATAATAACACAGACTTGTTAGGGGATCTGGACTTATATCCCTCACAGGAAGCTCCAGCCTGCACTTCTGTTGGTAAAGAAGTATAATTTCAGTAGCTCCAGCTACCCAGTTACCTCCAGATTCATCCTACCTGCAACAATCTGTGCTCCAGAGTTGCAAGTTCCAAGTACTGCGTATCTTCCCGGGAAACTCGATCCAAACGATCTCGAATCTCTTTGAGTCTGGCCTGGTGAACTTCCAGGTCATCTCTAGCCTTTCGGACAATTCCTCGAGCCACCATGAACTCTTTCTCTGCCTGAAAGAAAAACAGAAATGAAGTCTGTCCCCCTTTCTAAGGTGAACTACTTTCCTAAAATAAGTGAAGTACTGGGAATGGGGGAGGACATAGTTACACACAGGTGGTACATACTAGCACTCTAGCTGCCCTAGTGTAATTCTGCTTTCCTTCTATTTTTATTTTATTCTGGTAGAAGACAGATGTAAAAAAGGACAAAATGTCAAACCTGTTTTTCTTACACTACTATAAGGGAAGGGAATAAGGAAAGGAATAAGCAATTATTAAGTGCCTACTGCATGTCAGGTACTGTGCTAAATGCTTTATAAATTATTATCTTATTTGATCCTCACAACTTTGGAAGGCAGGTGCTGTTATGATCTCCATTTTAGAGAGGAGGAAACTGAGCACACAGAGATTAAGTGACTTGCCCATGGTCACACAGCTAGTAAGTGTCTGAGACTGGATTTGAATTCAGGTCTTCCTGACTCCAGGCTCAGCACTCTGTTGTCAATGTGGACAGAATTATGTCCACAAAAGAGGGAACCTAGGGCTCAGTCTATCCCTAGATCTACCATTTACTCTACTCTCTCCCTATTCCTTATAAGAGGGGAAGGGAAACTTTCTATTTAAAATTTTAATAACTAAGTAACAAAGGTTAAATGAGACTTAAAGATAAAACACTGATGTGGTGTGTGTATACACACACACACATGATATACAATGAAAAGTAGAATATTTACCCAATTCTCCATCTGTGCAGAAAATGCCACAAATTCTAGTGTTTTTGTAAATAAACTATTTTCACTGTTATTGTGGAAAGAGCTGAAACGTGATTACACTGAAGCTATGATGGATTTGACTTTTGTCAGTACAGTTTTAAGCTCTTAAAGCTTAATTGGCATGAAGATTTTTTGGGACACCCTGTATAGGTAGAATGTTTCTCAATTTTTTTCCCTTCACAAATGCTCTTTAATTACAATGCTATAAAATCATTATGAATGCAAACAAACACTACCAATTCAACATCAACAAAGGAATCAGCTATTGGACTTAACTGTATAAAAGGTTATGACCAGAGACTTAGGAGGGGAAAATGGCAGTGGTTTGGTTAAGTGACATGCTAAAACCACATTCAGTATCTCCAACCCAGTGGCACTAAAGAACTGAAGCTTGCTAGTCAGGAAAGAAAAGGCTGGATATGGTTTAAAAAACATTGTTGGGGATGGCATGAGCCAGAAATAACGTATCAGAGCAGGACCCACTACAAAAAGTGATAAGAGCTCTAGATTCTCATCTGTAGTATTTACCTCAGTCACATTCCCCTGGGCCTCTCGAACTTCATTTAGACCAACGAATTCCTCATAACTGTCCCACCAAGTTTTGGCCACAGAAGATATTCTCTGTTGGAAATTCTGTCCCAGGGTTCGACCCATCTCAGTGAGTCTGTGATATAGTCTGATGGCAGTTTTTGCAGAAGTTTTCCCCTTGCGCTGGATAGGACCTGGGCTGTAGAAGGACCTCACACTGAGGAGTTTCATTCTTTGGCTTCTCAGCTCCAATTTCTGGGGTGAACTCATGATGCGCTGCATCGCTAAAATGGTAGTATGCCCCATCATTAGGCCTGAGAATTCATGCAAGGCAGTGAGGAACGTTGGAAAAGGGACACAAAAGACATCTACTCAGAACCAAGAAAAGCATAAAACCAAGCTCAAGCATTTATAACTCTTGAGACAGAACAATGTCTGAACAAAATATTTTCATCTAAATAAGTATTAACTGAACATTTCTTAAGTATGATGGTCTATAGACTATTATTCTCCCTCTACTTGAAGAATGGTTCTCCTCAAAGCTTTCAAGTAAACTGGTTCAATGGAAAGATTTTGTACATTTCTTGAGTTTGATTTTTCCAGACCTATGATTTCACCAATGTGGAAACCCTCCACCTACCCAGACCTGCAACTCACAGTAACTCTTTCTCTTACAGAGTTGCCTGGGACATTGAGGAGATAAATGATTTGCCCATGGTCACACATCTGCCCATGAGTTGGAGGCAGAAATTGAACTCTGTCTTTCTTCCTCTCTCCACAGCCAGCCCAGTAGGCAGTAGGCCAAGTTGCCTCTGTTTGTTTAAAATTTTTATTAATGCCTTTTGTTTTAATCACATGAAGTCCTAAATATATCCCTCCTCCTCTCTTCCCTTCTCAGCAAGCTTTCCCTTGTAACAAAGATTTTAAAAGGGAAAAAGACTAAAAAAAAAATTAACATTTTGATCACTTTGGACAGTATAGATAATAAACCCCACAACTTCTCACTTCTGAAGAAGGATGGTACATTTAATTTTCTAAAAAATGTATTAATGTATTTTGTCTTTTTATCACTACCTGTATTTAATTAGACACAGACAGCAAATAGTATACACTGTCCTCACTTCCACAGCCTATACCTTCCTACAAAAGCTTTGGCTACTCTTCAAGAACAGGTACATCTCTGTTAATGAACTGGATGATTTTTGTGCCTGAGGAAAAGGATACCCAGGCCTGCTCAGACTATAACTCCTATAAAAAAAGATGACAAACTGGAGGGAAACATGGGGACAACAGCTCAGCCAGAGGGAGGCCTAAAAATCCCCTGGGGAAACCTGAGACAGGATTTCAGGAAACATCTAGGATTCAGTCTCATTTCCAAAAAAGCCCAATCAACTACCTCCCTGCCAGAATCCAACCTTCCTTCAAAAAAATCAGGCAGATATTCCATAAGAAACTTCTATGACTACTTAAGTATATAGTTTCAAGGAAAGCAGCTTCTGCCTTTCCCTGAAGGGAGACAATTGTATAAGAAAATCAGGTCTTCACAGAAAATATTTTGTATTTTGTCCCATTTTTTCCTCTTAATTTCATTTAATCACAGGACTCCCAGGCTATTTGATTTCTGCATCTCACATTTCAGTCCTCTAATCTCTCCCTTCCCCCACTACTTCTCTTAGTCAGTGCTCAGTCAGGCTCAACAGATTGATTTTTCCTTAATCTTTCCTTTTTTTTCAGTCTTTTGGATGTTTGTCCTAAGCAAATGGAGAGAAGTTGACGGCTATTCAAACACAGAATCTCCCTCATTATCCAACTCGTAGAGCTCCTTCTTCTACCCCTACCTATCTGGTCCTGTCTTTTCATGTCTATTACAAATCTGCCAAAAGACAGAATTGCTGTTTTGTGTTGGTCAAATTACTGCCCAAATAGAAAATCTGATCACTAAGACAGACTGTTATAGTGACATCTGGTGGCAATCAAAAATAACGGAAGGCCAAAAAGGCAAGAAAGAATACAGTACTGATGAAAAAGGAATAATAGCAGTGATTCACATTTATACACATGCATACACATACAAAATATCCTCCTAGATCCTTTCTCTTTTCAAGAGAAGTGCACGTGGTATTAATTTCCAAATGTCTGATTATCATTCACTTATCTGCAAAGAAGATCATTCTGATTTCCCCACATTTCTACCTATCTTAAGAAATATGCCCTACACCAGCCAAAATACTATTGAGCTACAAGCCTGAGGGAAAAAATATTCCAGAGCACAGCCAGACCTGCAAATGGATGGAGCATTAGTTTTACACTGCCTGATACTCAAAACAGGTGTCCAGAGACCATGGAATGTCTTCGAAGCAAGCTTAAAAGAAATTCATTTGCTAACCTGCACAGTATCACCCATATCCTTTAATCTCCATTCACAATGCCACCATTCTTGTTCAGACCCACCACCTCTAGCCTAGACCATTTTAACAGACCCTTAATTGGGCTCCCTGCTTCCACTCTCTATTCCACCCTGCCAAAATAACCTTCCTAATGTACAGATTTGATCTTGTCACTCCTCTGTTCAAAACCTTTCAGTGACTCCCTATTACCCATACAATAAAATATAAACTCCTACACCCAATAAAATCTGGCTCCAACTTACTTTCCACTCTTATTTCACGATATTTTCTCTTCATGTTCTCTGCTCCAGTCAAATGGACTACCAGGTATTCCCTAAACATGCTATCCTACATGGCTGGTATGAATTCTCTTATCTCTTTCAGAATCTTTCTCTTCAAGCCTGATTCAGGTGTCACTTTCTCCATGAAGTTTTCTCTAATTCCCCCAATTAAGAGTGCTTTTCCCCTCCCCCAGTTTTCCTGTCAATAAATCAACAAGGCTCTATTAAGTATCTACACAGCATCTAGTTTAATTTGTTCTTTCCTTTGCCCTCCTCAAATCCTCCCCTGTATCATACCTGTCTACGTAATCATACCTTTCCCCCCAGTACAATACAGGCTCATTAAATTCAAGCATTGTCATTTCTGGGGAAGCTAAGTGGTACAGCGGATAGAGTGCTGGACCTGGAGTCAGGAAAACTCATCTTCCTGAGTTCAAACGTGGCCTCAGACACTTAACAGCTGTCTGAACTTGGATAAGTCACTTAACCCTGTTTCCCTCAGTTTCCTCATTTCTAAAATGAGCTGAAGAAAATGGCAAACCACTCCAGTAACATTGCCAAGAAAACCTCAAATGGGGTCACAAAGAAGTGGACACGAGAGAAGAACAATTGTCATATTTTATTATTTTGGATCTTTATCTGCCCAACAGTCAGTCAGTTAGCATTTCTAAAGTGCCTGCTATGTACCATGTACTGTGCTAAACACCAGGGATACAAAGAAAGGAAAAAAATAGTCCCTGCCCTCAAGGGAGACAACATGCAAACTATGTACAAAGATACATACAGGATAAATTGGGGGAAGTCTAAGAGGGAAGATACTAAGATTAAAGCGACCAATGAAAAGCTTCTTGCAGAAGGTGGGACTTTAGCTTAGATTTGAAACCAGAAAGTAGAAATGAGAGAGCTCCTGGCATGGGGGCATAGCTAGTGAAAATGCTTGGATCCGGGAGATGGAGTGTCTGGCTCAATGAGGCCAATGTCATTGGACTGAAGAATATGTGGAGAATAAGGTGTAAGGAGACTGGAGAGGTAGGAAGGGACAAAATTATGAAGGGCTTTAAAAGCCAAACAGAAGATTTTACATTTGATCCTGGAGGTGACAGGGAGCTCCTGGAACTTCAAGTAATAGTCAGACATATGCTTTTAGGAAGATCAGTTTGACAGCTTAAGGGAGGATGGACTGGAGTGGGAATATACTTAAGGGCAAGGAGATCAACCAGCAGGCCTACTACTTCAAGAGTCTAGGCCTCAGGTGATGACAGCCTTCACTAGGGTGGACATATATACAAGAGATGCTATGAAGGTAGAAATGACAGAACTTGACAAGTGATTGAATGTGGTGGGTGAAAGTGAGGAGACAATTTCCAGCATGGGCGACTGGATGGTAGCATCCTCTAGAATAGGGAATTTAGGAAGAGAGGAAGGTTTTGGGGAAAAAGATAATGAGTTCAGTTTTGGACATGTTGAGTTTAACAGGACATCCAGTTTGAGATGTCTATTAGACAGTTAAGCACAGAGTAAGTACTTAAACTTTATCAAGCATGTATTGCCACCCTTTTTTGGGGGGGGCAGTGCGGGACAGCTTTGTCTGGACAGAGAACATGAAAAGATAACTCAATTTTATAAAAGTTGCCTGCAGCACTGAGAAGCCAATTACCCATGGTCACACAGGCAAGTATGTTTCAGGGAAAAGAGTTTCGAATCCTGCCGCTGACAATAGGTAATCTTCTAAGTCATTTAAACCTCTTTAGACTTGTTTTCTCATCTACGAGAGTTGCAGAAAATACTATAAAAGATAAAAAATGCGAGCGGGTTAGGCCCTCCACCTGGGTTCAAAAAAGGGTCTGCAGATTCAGGGATGAGGAATAATTAACGCTGGATCCCCTTGTCTCACAAGTTTGCACAGGCTAGACCCTAGTCCAGGCACCGAATCCTTAAGAAAAAGCTCATTCCAAGGGCGAGAGACTCCCCCTCCCCACCTTCTGCTCTTCTTGGGTCGCCCCCCTTCCCCGCCACCGGCCTCAATAGACCTTTCCTGGCCTCCCCCTACTCCCCTCTACCAAGTCCAGAGGGAGGCCCCCTCCCTCCAGGGTCCTGACCGCCCCTCCTCCCGCCCTCTTCCTGGTTTCCTGACCGCCAAGGCCCTCAGGTGGCTTCCCCCACGACAGCCTGGCAGGAGCATAGGAAGGAGGGGGCCTGCCTGGGGCACTCCGGACCCGCCAGGGTGGGAGCCCCCCTGGCCAAGCCTCCGAGCAGGGCCAAGGGCGCTAGCAGCAAACCGGCCGGACAGAGAGTCTCCCTCCCAGCGTGCCCTACCTGACCTTTCAGACCAGCCCGAGGGCCCCCAGACCCTATTCCCCTCTCCGGGGAGCCCTGAGAAGGCGCGTGGGCCGAGCCCCGGGGCTCGGCTGCCCCCGCCTAGCGCCTGCCCCCTCACCTGGCGCGCGCGGGAATCGAACCGGTAACCGCCGCCTCAGAACCACCAGGTCTCCAGCCGGCCACGACCTCTGACCCCAACGCGGAAGTCGTGGCTCCATTTCCAAGCTAGGAACCAATCAGCCTGACGATGGAGGCGGAAGGGGCGATCCGAAGGTTCCGCTTCCGGCAGCGAAGGGGCTCGGGGAAGCTGAGCAGCAGGCACGATGTCCGGTCGCGAGGGTGAGTGACCCAAAGAGCGGGGGGTGGGGGTGGCGTCTGGGTTCTGTATGGCCTGGCCATTCCCGAGAGGGGACGCCGAGACCGCGGGACTACAGGAGGGGGAGCCCAGGGGCCGAGCTCTGCCCCCCAAGTAAGAGGGGCTGATATGGCCGGACCCTTCGGCCTGGACTAGGAGAGGAGAATCCCCTGACCCCTAGATCTCTCCTCAAGGCCGAGGCACGGAGGAGCACAAGAGGAGGCTGAGTCCCAATCCACCTTCCACTGGCCCAAGGGAGGGGCAGACTCCCAGGAAGAAAAGCTTGAGATCTCTGGGTTCCCCCAGGCCTGGGACAGAAGATGGGAAGGAGCCCATAGTCCTCAGTTATCAGCCTTCCATCTCAAGAGGCAGGAAACTCCCCCAGAGTTTTCAGCTCCTGTCTCCCAAATCTTAACAACAGGGCTTCCTAAATCCTTTGACAGGTGGTAAGAAGAAGCCTCTGAAGCAGCCCAAGAAACAAACCAAGGAAATGGATGAGGTGAGGTATCTGGGCTGAGGTGAAAGGGTACCATGTAGGCGAAAATGGGGTATTTGAGGTTTTATATTATATACTTGATCCTGCTCAGACCCCAGTGGGAGGTAAGAGGCAAGGGAATTGTGGTAGTCTTCTTACCTCTGGCTCCATGTAAGATTACACTGTCCCTCAAATATTGGGGCAAGAGAGTGGACTTTACTGGCTTAGGCATAGAAAAGGGGGAGACCTTAGTTGGGAATGAGCACTGAGGGCAGACCCCCCCCTTCCCCCATAGGCCAGGCCTTCCTAGTGCTTATCCAGTATATGACCCAAATCTTTTCAACTCCAACTATCAGCATTCTCAGGGACAAACACCAGCAACTGCTGGTTACAGTCACCCAGCTCAGCTCAGCTGGGGCCTCAATAGTATGTTCCACATTTTCTTTAGGAAGATATAGCTTTCAAACAAAAACAAAAAGAAGAACAGAAAAAACTGGAAGAGTTAAAAGCAAAAGCTGCTGGGAAGGGACCACTTGGTAAGTTTTGTTAAAAAGCCTAGTCCTTTGAATTTCTATAGAAAGTACTCATTAGCAAAGATAAAAAGCACTTTCAGAAATTAAAATTGCTATTCCCATTGCAAAAAAACAACCATAGCACCTCTAAATCTTTATTTTTCTTTTTTAGCTTTAACTAAATTTTAACATGTTGGTTGAAGCACATAATGATAATAGCTGGTAGTGTTACAGTGCTTTTAAGCATTTATCTCCTTTTAATTGTCACAACCAACAACTGTCTGGTAATTAGTGCAAATAGTATGCACAATTTACAAATTAGGAAACCAAAATTCAGAAAAATGAAATGACCTGCCTGGGGACACAACTAGTAAGTGGCAGACCCAGACTTGAAACCCAGATGAATACAAGGACAAAAAAAGCCCATCCTCAAGACCTTGCATTCTACTAGAGAGATACCAAATGTACAAAGAAATTTCAGAAGAAGAAAACCATAAACACATAAAAGACTTCATGTAAGTAGGAACTGAGCTGAGCCTAGAAGAAAGCTAGGGATTCTAAGAGGCAGAAATAAGGAGTGATCATATTTTGGGGGGAGAGCCATTCAAAGATGGAATGTTATGTTTGGAGCACAGTGATTAAACCAGTTTGGCTAAAGTATAATGTTTATGAGGAGGAGTAATCAACCTAGAAAGATAAGCTGGAGCCAGAGTGTGAAGGCCTTTATATGCCACAAAGATGAGTTTGTATTTTGCCCTCGCGGCAATAAAAAGCCACTGAAGATTCTTGAGCATAGAGTGCTTTAGTGAGAATTGTGCTTTAGGAAAATTTTGCCTGATACGTGGAGGATAGATCAGAGAGAAGAATTGGTAGGGACATCACTTAGGAGGCTAATACATTTTGGTGGGGTTGTCCAGTTGGAAGTTCTACATCTTTAAAATAGAGGAATGGAGCACAGGAAATACAGGGCTGGATATGTAGATTTGGGAGTCATCTGCAAAGAAATGATTATTGAATCCATGGGAACTGATAAAATCATGAAGAAAGGGTTTAAAAAAAGAAGAGAAGGCTGCCCAAGACATGAATGATGAAGAGAAGCTATGTCACCAAAAAACTGAGGGAGGCAAGAAGGCCGTCAGCAGTGTTAAAAGCAACAAAGGTCAGGAAGCCCAATAAATGAAAAGCCTATTGGATTTAGCAATTGACAGATTATTGGTGACCAAGGAAAGAGCAGTTCTAGTTGAATAATAGAGTGGAAGTCAGATTACAAGGGTTTGAAACGGGTCAAAGAGGGAAGGAGTGAGAAGTGAAGAAATGAAAAAGTGAAGAAACAAATATAAATCACTGGGTGGGGGTAGTGGGGAGTTTGGCTTTGGAAGGAATGAGTAATATCAGCACATAGCTTGAGGGGACAGCAGGGTCAAGTGAAGGTTTTTTTAAAGATGGCAGAGACCTGAGCATATATGTCAGACACAGAAAAGCCAGTAAGTAGAGAAAATGAGGACAAGAGATTGGGTGGTCAAAGAAGTAAGATCCAAAAGAAGACTTGAGAATGAGATCAAGAGTGCAAATAGAGGGGTGGGCCTTGACAAGAAGAAGGGCTGCCTCTTGTTAGGGACTGGAGCAAATGAGAGAATGGGGAAAGATGAAGAGTATGAGGTATAAAATAAGAATGAAAAAGGAGTTCATTAATATTTCTCATATTCTCATAAAAAATAAATAAAATAATAATTATTCTCAAAAGGAAGAGAGCTCTGCTAAGAGGGAGGGAGCAAAGTTACACATGAGGTCAGAAAAGAAAAGGGAGTGGAAGAGACTGTTGGAAGAATAAAAAGATTGCCATGTAGCAGTACGGATCCAGTTGAGAATAGATGAATGAATGCACATTAAACACTATGAGCCAGACACTGTGTTAAGTGCTTGGGATACAAGTACAAGCAAGCCAGATGGTCCTTGGTCTCAAGGAACTTACATTCTAATAGAGAAAGACAAGAAAACACATATAAAGGAGTAGTAGCCAGGGAGGAGTGTTTTGGAAAAGTGGTAATTAGAATCAAGGGCAAGTGATTGACACTCCTTTTCAACAATGGGGGTGTTGAGTTGATTACTATTCTTAGAGTTAGCACTGGAGTGTAGGAGGAATAGAAACGAAGGAAGTGGGGTAATCCCAAAGTGCCTTGAGATGAAGATGAATGGCAAGTGATGAGGATGGGTCTAGGTCTTGGCTAGACAGTGGTGAATATTCACCAAGGTGAGAGCTTGAGTTGGAGGTGGAGGCTGGAGTGCAGAAGTGTGGCTGAGGAATGGTATGATTTGTCTGGATCTGGGCTAACTACATCAGTTCTCACCATATAGTAAATTTGTAGTTGATTTATTTGCCAGAATTCTGCAACATCCTCCACTTGAGCTCTGTAGCAATGAAGTGGGAATGGAGAAAGTAGTTCATGATGATGCCCCAGAGCTAGAGTTTGGCAAGACATGAGCAACAATAGGGCAAGAGAGGAAGGGAATCAAGGACAGAGGGCAATATAGGTGGACTCCTTAACCATAAGGTCAAGAGCAAAGGGAGAACAGTAAGGCCTGAGAAGGAGACAGAGACTGGGAAAGCAGAGGACATTGGAGTGATTGGAGATGTTAGTGAGGTTTAAGAGAACTGAGGCAAAGGGAAAGATTGAAGAATAAGAGTTTACGGTCAGAGAGAATTTCAGTGTTGTAGACCATAGAGGTAGAACAGTGTGGGTTAACAGTGAGGTCAAGTGAATGGCCATTTCTGTGGCTGAAAGAGTGAAGTTACAGTTAGATTAATGGGAGTAGATTGGGACACCAGGGTGCTTGAGGGGACATCCAAGTTTATATTGAAACTCTCAAGTTTGAGGGCAGGTATTGGCATGGAGAGGAAACCTACAGCTTCTAAACTTCTTGAGAAGAGATGGAGAATTATCTAGAGGACTAATAAATCTGCAACCCAGATCTAGAGGGGGAGATACAGACAGTGGAATAAACCTAAAAGGAAGAGAGGTTGCCAAATGATTGGGGAGGCAGTGCAGAGCCTAAAACAGGCTTGCACAGAGGCCTGAGGGCCAAAGGTTGTGCAGGCCTGGTCTAAAAGTATCATTGAGAAGCAAGGAGTGTGTTTTTCCCAGCTCGTTGTGGTGAGAGGTTATAAAAGAAGGAGCAACCCCAAATTGGATAATGTGGTCAGGGATGTAGAAATGTGGTATATTCTTGGGGGACCAGGTTAATAAAAGTGTTCAAAGATGGAAAGAACATGAAGATATGAGATTTAGGACAGAGGGAAGTTTAACAATAGAACTAGGGGAGTGAGCACATTGGAATTAGAGAGCAGAACAGGATAGGAGCACGGGAAATGTAGAGCTGAGGTAGACAGGATGAGACTAACTGCAATCCTATTGATCTCTGCAGTAAATCACATTTCTTCTCAACATATCTAGATGTTAGCCACTTATTCTTCTTGGCTGGCAATGCATGCAATTTGTAGGTTGCTTTTGTGGCATTTTTTAGCTCAGATTTTCAGAAACTGTTAAGCTGGAGGGGCAATTTAACTGGCACCTGCAATAGTCTGCATTTTGTCAATTGAAAATCCTGATTGTCAGAGGGCATTGTCAAGGGTCCAGAGTCAGAAAGACTTGGTTTTGAAATTTACTTGCTTTGTGACCAGGGGAAGGTCACAAAGAGTCAGATAATTCACTAACACTATAAGTTATATATATATGCAAGTTTTAATAGTGGTTGGAGTTTGCATATGAGTAAATCCTAAATCCTTGGTATGTTAACTTGGCATTGGGGGGGGAGTTAATCAGGGTTAAGTGACTTTCCCAGGGTCATACAGAGTGTATGAGGCTAGATTTGAACTCAGGTCCTCCTTACTCCAGGGCCAGTGTTCTATTCACTTCACCACCTAGTTGCCCAATAACACATTAACTGTTAATCTTGATTTAACAGAAATCTGCCCCTCAGTCTTAATCATTCTACCACCCTTCCTTTAGCCTTTCCCTTGATCTCTAATCTTTAAGGTCATATCCCAAACCAATCTTTGACCATCTCTTGTTTTAAAAAATGCTTTATTTATACACTTTTCTTTCTTTCATATATATATTCTATATATGATTGGTCACTTCTCAATGACTCCCTCCCCTTTAGAACCTTTCCTTGTAACATATAAGTACAGTAAAAGAGAACACATCCACACATAGCTATCCCCTTTTTAACACTTGATAGCTGAGATGGAGAATTTTGCACTGTTTCATTTGATCCTCACAACTAGGTTAGGTGATTTGCCTAAGGTAACACAGCTAGTAGGTGTCTAAGCCTGCATTTGAATCCAGGTCTTCCAACCAAATCCACCACTATTCAGTACATCACACTTCCTTTATAATGCTCTTTCTGTTTTCAACATGTTATTTCTTCTACAATATTAACAATGTTTTTAAAATATAAATCTATATATACTGCAATGGATGTCAGTGTTTCCATTCTCCTATATATTTTTACCCTAAAGTCCACGTCTCACCATTCTGCCTAATTGTTGGCTTAACATTTTGAGTGTGTAAATAAAACTTGTCATGTGAAAAAAATTAAATGATACTTTTCCTAATAAAGATTCATTTTCTTCCTAAATCCTTTTGCCTTTGAGCTTACAGTGCTAACTGTTTATAAGTAATAAATTTTATTTGCCCAAACTCTGTAGCCTAACTTTCAAGTATCCCTCTAGAATATGTCCTAAACCTACTTTCCAAACCTAATTTCCCACTGTTTTTCCATTTAAACCTTCTGTTCTTCAAGTCCCCTCACTGCTCTCTCCACATCCTTGCTTATATTATTCCTTCCATCAAGCCATATCTGAACACCTTAGCCAACAGGGTTCTTACTTACTGCCAGCTCTTAAACCACCTGTGTTCTGTACCACTTATTTGGCATTGCCAGATATGGTCTTCTATTAACTTTTTGTGTGCCTTTTCAAACAAACTGTAAATTTCTTTCAGGAATGGACTAGATCTTACACATCCAGATATTAGACTTGGAGTCTGAGCAAGCTGGGTTCAAATATCATCTGACATTTACTAACTAACTGGGTGGCTCTGAATAAGTCATTTAACTTCCATGAGCCTGTTTCCTTATTAATGTGGGGATGATAGTACATGAACTACATTTTTCATGGATTACTGTGAGGAAAGCATTTTATAAATTGTAAAGTGCTATGTAAATGTGAGCTATTAGATTTCTTTTGTTAAAGGAGATAAATTAAAAGTGATCACATTTCAGAAAGATTCTGTAGGTCAAAGAATCCCAGTAACTAGCCTTTCCTCGTAAGATGTTTTTCCACAATTTTAAATAATTTTTCAGGCCTTTTGTTATCTCCATTTTCCTTTTAAAGTACATTGACTAAAACTAAACTTATGCCAGTATGTAAGATAGTTATTAAAAACATTACAAAACCCTATTAGTGTTGTAAGTGATGTTGTTTAAAAGGTTTAACTTATATTCAGCTTACAAAAGTAAAAGAACACTTTTTAAGGTACCTACTATGTACCTCATACTGAGGATACAAAGTGAGATAGTCCCAGCCTTAGAGCTTATGAATGAACTACCAGTGTGATAACAGTGTTTACAGAGAAGTATAGAATATGTATAAAATAAATACACAGAAACTGGGGGAAGGGGACTCCACTAAGAATTAAGGAAAACAAGAAAGGCCTCTTGATGGCATTGGAACTAAGCCCTGAAGAAGCTGGAGATTTCAAAAAGTGGAATTGAGGAATTACATCATCTCAGTATGGCAAAAGCAAGGAGGCAGGAAGTGGAATGTTCTAAAGAGGAAATATCAAGTTGGCCAATTTGTCAGTAGTGATAGTAATAGAAATAGGGATAGAGTAGGGATAATAATCAGCCTGGAAAGAAAGAAAGGCAGAAACCACAGAGAAGTTTGTACTTTGTCCCAAAAATTAATGGAGAGTTGCTGAATTCTTGTGCAGAGGAGTAACATGGTCATACTGGACTTCAGAGAGATTAATTTGGCAACAGGGTGGCCCAGGGGTGGGGAACCTGCCCCCTTGGCAAAGTTCTGTAAAGTTTGGATTCAAAGGGCTGAACTTGAGGACCTAGAAGGCCACATGTGGCCTGGAGGCCAAAGATTCCCCACCCCTGGATAGCTTATGGAGGAGGGAGGGGAGAGGCTGGGTACAGGGAGACCAAGTAAGCTATAACAATAATCCAGGGAAAGGTTTTGAAGGTCATGTAGTATGAGTAGAGAGAAGGGAGTGGAAGTGAGAACTATTGATTTTTCCTACTTAGTGAGTGGAACATGTAGGATAGAATTGCAATTCTGGCTAAAATCAAGATAAATCTTCAGGGTGTAGTGGCCAGAGATGAGCCCCCAGCATTCTTCCCCTCTCTAGAATAATATTTTCTTCTCTTACAGCCAGTGGTGGGATTAAGAAATCTGGCAAAAAGTAGAAGTTCCTGTGTAGATAAGATGGTGATTCCTGTTGGTTTCTTTCTTGCTTTGTGACATCTGCATTTCCTACTTCAACATCTGTAGCAGCCTGCAGCCAAGATTAAGTATTATCTTAATGAGTCCATTGTACATTGTAATAAACTTTTTTTAAAAATCATGATGGCTCATGTTCTCTTTTCTTTTTCCATGTCAGCTCTTCCTAGTTCAGCTGGGATGAGCTGACCCAGTGTAGAAACTGCCCTCTACCTTACTCTGCTTGAAATGCCTCTGGTTTGAAGAGCAGTGTTTACAAAATTAAACCAGGTGGTTGAATGTACTCTTTTTTCTTTGGTGTTATGTTCATTCTGATCAATTCAACAAATAGGTGCCTAGTATGTAAAAGATACTATGGGCATAGACATAAAAAATGGCTGTTAGGGCCAAAATCTGAAGCTTAGCTAAACCAGCTTTAATGTTTGAAAGTCTCTGGATCCTGAAGAGGGGAAACCAGGGTAGTCTGGGAAGAAGGCCTAGCTGAAACTTTAATGCATTTTGTCCTGAGGTCATTTTACAGTGTTTTAAATTGAACTCAGTTCAAGAAATCTTGGCCTTGATAGTCATTGGGTCAACAAGCATTTATGAAGGAGCCTACTACGAAGAGCCTGGCATTTTGCTAAGCACTAGGAATACAAAGAAAGGCAAAAAGCAGTCACCGCTTTCAAGGAGCTCATAGTCTAACGTGGGAGACAATATACAAACAACTATGTGCAAACAAGGTACAGGATAAATTGGGGCTAGTTTCAGAGGGAAGGCACTTGGGGAGGACTGGAAAAGACATTTTGCAGAACATGGAACTTTATCTGAGACTTCAGGGAAGCCAAGAAATAGAGATGAGGAGGGAGAGAGTTCCCTTATAGGGGAGGGCAAGTGAAAATGCCCTGGAATTAAAGAACTTCAAGGAGGCCAGCATCATTGAAGAGTAAAAAGACTGGAAAGGTACCATCTATGGGTCAGGTCATGAAGGTATTTAAAAGCAAAACAATTTTATATTTGATCCTGGAGGTAATCAGCAAGGAATCTTGGCATTTTTTTGGTGTCATGGATCCCTTTGGCAGTCTGGTGAAACTGATGGACCCCTTCTCAATAAAGATTTTAAATGCATAAAATAAGTCAATAAGCACTTATTAAGTGCTTAATATATGCCAGGCTTTCAGCTAAGTAAAACTAGTTCTTGTCAAGAGCTTGTGTTCTGATGGGGAGAATATGCAAAGAACCATGTGCATGCCAGATAAACATAGTATAGTACATACATGGGCAGTCATCTCAGGGGTGAAGGTATTGGGTGTTGGGGAGGAGACCTGGAAAGACCTACAGAAGATGGGAATTAAAAAAATTTTTTTAAAAAATTCACAGACTGTCTTCTTCCACAACATGACTAATAAGGGGAATGTTTTGCATGATTGCACATGTATAACCTATATCAAATTGCTTACCCTTTAGGGAGGAGTAGGGAAAGGAAGACAGAATTTGTAACTCAATATCTTAAAAAATAAATGTTAAAAATGTTTTTGCATGTAATCGAGAAAAATATTTTTCAAAAAAAAAGTTCACCTACCTCAAGAAATCTTGGTATACTGTTTTATATTATTTGTCATTTATCTCCAACTAGATATAAAGTTCCATATGGGCAAGGGCCTGTCACACCCAGAGACCACCACAGGCAGACATTCAGTATTTGACTTTTTTGGGAAGGGATGAGAGGAAGTTGGGATTTGTAAATCCATCTACTGTATACTGTGGGGAGCTGCCAAAGACTACTCCCTCCTCCGCTGTTCATTCTAGAGTTGCTCTGGGGGCGCTGAAAGGTTAAGTAACTAGATCAGCTAGTGCGGGGGAAGCTGGACTGGAGCTCTGGAGTCTTACGGATGGCCAAAATAGGCCCCTCCCTCCCTCCCTCGGGAGGACAACATCCCAAGAGATCAAAAGCTTTCCTGGAGGACCACGGTCCACGGTGCTTTTCCTCCTATATTAGTCCTCAGTAGGAACTACGAAAGCGTGAATGAATGAATGAATGAATGCAGTTACGGAACTAGTGCTGGCACGCTGGGGACAGTGCCCGAGGCGCCCGGCCCGCTCTCGGAGGCCCTCCCTCGGGCCGCAGTCCCACTCTCCGTACTTGGCGTGGGGATGAGGCTACGTCCAAACGAATGAGGAGGGGCCTTATGGATTTGGAGTCCCCTGGGGGAGATGACGTTTCTGGGAGCACAGCCAGCTCTGTCCTCCACCCCCGCCCTCCACTCCCCGCTGGGTCTCTGGAGACGCTCAAGGACCCGGAAAGAGCAGCATTTGCACCGACTCCACAGTGCTCCGTCGGACTCAGCACCGCCCACCTCTCCCCTCCCCCCGACCCCTAATCCCTTCTATTTCCCACAATCCTTCCCGCCACGGCTTTCGCCGCCATAGCTCCCAAGCTTCCTTCTCCTAGGCACCTCAGGCCAGCCCCGACGCTGCACCCCCTCTCTCAACATTCTTACGTCATCATCGCGCGCTCAGCACACGGCCGCCGGGGACGCTGTTTCGTCAATCGGAGGCGCCTGATCCCCAGGCCTGCCGGGAGCTCAACCTCGCGCCCGGAGCCCGGGGCCTGATTGGTCGATGTGGTTGGGAGGCGGGTCGTGCGCAATGATTGACAAGGGGTGGTAGCGGCGGCTGCAGAACAGAGGTGAGTGGCCGGCTCGAGTCCGAGAGCGGTCTCGTGTACTGGGGTGGGGAGAGGGGTAGGGGAGGAGTGGCCGGAAGGGAGGGATGAGGAGACTACAGGTGGAGAAGGACTGGAGAGAGGGCAGGTGAGGGAAGGGGTGCCTGGGGAGATGGTGAGAGGACTGGTGGGGGAGGGGTGAAGAGAGGACCTGTCGGGGGGAGGAATGGGGGAGGGGAGGTAACGATGGGAGGGCATAGAAAGGTGATGACTGGAAGAATGAGTGACTCTTGTTGAGATGTGACAGAAGGTGGGGTGGCTCCTCTCTTTCCTAAGCCCTAAGATGATCCAACCTCTCTTCTTCCTTTATCTCAACCCATCACATTTATACCACTTTTCCCTCCAGTCAGCCCCACATCTTCCCACCCAGGAATCTTCTGGGTGTCAAGCCATTTCTTCAGAAGAACAACAATGGCAGGGAACTCAGGGACCCGCTTCCTGGGGGGCAAGAAGAGGACCACTGTGCAGTTTCATGGTCTGCACCCACACCATGGCAGAGATAACAGGGAGGACCCTCCAGGGGTTTCTCCACCTAATAAACGGTCCAAGAGCTTTGACGTTACTGATTTCAAGGAGACAGAAGATTGCTTTGGATACAATGAAGAGTTTACAGCAGATGATCTGGAGGAAATTGATATCATTGCATCCCAAGCTTTGACTCAAGATTTAGACTGCAAGGTCCCACTGAACACAAATTCTGCCTCGAGGTCCTCTTCTCCCTCAGCTGCTAGAAAAAGTGTGGGGCATTTGGAGCTCTCCAAAAATGACAGCACAGCGAAATACTCCCTTGGTATGTACATGGAATTTGATGTTGGGGATTGGAAAATCAATAATTCTAATAATAGCTCATTTCTATATAGTTTTTTAAGTTTTCAAGGTGCTATGCATTCATTATATCATTTGGTCCTTTGCAACCCTGTTAGGTAGGTACTACAGGTATTATTCCCATTTCACAGGTGAAGAAGCCTAAGTCCAGAGTGTTTAATTGACTTGCCAGTGGTAACACAGCTAGTAAGTATATCAGAATCTGGATATGAACACAAGTCTCTCTGACTGCTAGTCCACTCTACCTCACTCTCTTTCTGGGACTAGATATGCTTCAATGATATCAGTATTAATGGACAAGCTGAAATGATTCATCCTTTTTCTGATGTGAAAACACTCTTAAATCAGAGTATGGAAAATAGGCAGCACAATAAGTTTGACTTTGGAATAAAGTTAAGCATGTTTCTACAGGTTTACTCACCTTCCTGACCCCCCTCATCTCACACAGGCAGTTTGCAAGTTGGGAATGGGTTGTATTTCAAAAGCTTGTGTTTCAAGTAATCAACAGCTTGCCTCTAAACACTGTCTTAGGTTCTAGGGAGGTGATTAGGTACCACGTCATCTCACCAAAGCCTAATACGTAATAATAATGGTACCATAAAATCAAACCACCATTTGGTTTTATTGGAGCTGGAGCTTCAATGGCACAGACTCCTTGAGACAGCAAAGTGGGAGCTCAGGAAAATAGATGTGGGGTAGGGGAACTTAACATATGGGATCATTTGTAAATTGAATGTTCTCTTAAGCTGGGGGTTGCTGCAGGTTATTCATAGTGACAAATGATTCTCTTCAGCAAATCTGGATTCAGACATAATATAAGTAAATTGTTACTGGCAGGAATCCCTAAGTTTCCTGAACAAGATGGATTGTCCAGAAGTAAAAATCTTTCAGAGAAAAGCAGAGAAAAGATTCCAGCTAAAGATATTTCTGAATTTGAAAAACTGAAAGCACAACATGAAAAACTAAAGGAAAAGGTAAGTGATGCACAATGTTCTTTGCTTCTTAGTAGTGAAGATTGGACCACTCATTCCCCCAACCCCACTCAATAAAATCTAGTGGCTTCTTTAGCCTCTAGGATCAAATATATACACTCATCCATTTAACATGTAAAGCACTTCTCAACCTGGCCCCTTTTTATCTTTTTAGTCTTCATATTTCTCTGACTCTTCAGTCCAGTCTTACTAGCCTGCTTACTGTTCCCCTCCTTGTTCCTTTGACTAGAGTGTATTCTCTACTCACTTCCATACCTTAAAATCCCTGGCTTTCCTTGAGACTCACTTCAACTGCCCCCCCTCGCTTTTTTTTTTGGCTAGGCAGTGGGGTTAAGTGACTTGCCCAGGGTCAGACAGCTAGTAAGTGTCAGAGGCTAGATTTTAACTCAGGTCCTCTTTACTCTAGGGCCGGTACTTTATCCACTGCACCACCTAGCTGCCCCCAAAATGCCACTTCTACAGGAGAGTTTTCCTGGTCCTCTTTGCTGTTAGTGTCTCCCATCTAAATGTACCTCGTAATATGTTTTATATATACCTGTCTATGGACATGCTGTCTCCTCAGTAGAATATAAATTCCTTGAGGAACTGTTTTTGCCATTTCTTTGTATCCCCAGTGTTCAACATAGTACTTGGCACACAGTAAACACAAAAATGCTTTTTGATTTATTTTCTGCCCTGTTCCTGTGAAGCCAATTCAGTAACAATATTAGCTCACATTTGTATATGGTCTTAAGGTTTACAAAATTCTCTCTTCACAAAGACCCTATAGAATAGGTAATGGAAGGATTCTTAATCCCATTTTACAGATGAGGGAACTGAAGCTCTGAAAGATAAAATGATTTGCTTGAGAGCGTATAGTAGACCCTGAGTCTTTTAGCTTCAATTCCAGTACTCTTTTCCATCATGTTATCTTTCTTTGATTTGACTGATGAAAATGGACACAGGCTTATCTGTTAAGCCTGTTCAGAACTTTGTCTTCGTTAAGGGATAAAGTAGACTGAACAATTCACACAGCTAGTGAGTGTCTGAGGCTGAATTTGAACTCAGGTCTTCCTGACTCCAAGCCTACCACTCTCTCCACTGAGCCATCTAGCTGCCTCCTTAGTTTGTGCTAGAATATATATGTAGTTGTATTTTTATATGTTCAACTTCTCTCTCCTTAACCTGAGATCATAATTACATGTAGCTTTTAAGTATATATGTCTCTTTTCCTCTGATGATATTTTCTCATAAGATTAATTTGGGATTTACAGATGAAAGCAATGCAAGAGGAAATCCTCATTAAAAATGGAGAAATTAAAATCTTACGAGACTCATTGCATCACACAGAGTCCAATCTAGAAGAAAAGAAACGGTCACATTTCCTTCTGGAACAGGAAAAAATTCAGGCCCTCAATGACAAAGAAAAAGAATTCTCCAAAAAGGTAATTTGCTGTCTATTACCTTTGTTTCTGACATCAGCTTTACTGTATCAAAACGGCCCTTTTGCTTAAAGTCCTCCCAGAGTTCCGTCATTTTATTGAAGGAGAGAGAGTATTAACATTAAGATCAAGTATGTGTTGTCTTCCCCAATTAGATTGTAAGCTTTTTGAGGGTAGGAACTGTCTTTCTTTTTCTTATTTGTGTCTCCAGAACTTAACATAGTACCAGGCACATAGAGGACACTTAAAAATGTTTACTGAATTAAATTGATGAGAAATTGTTATTCAACAATGGATTTGTTGAATGAAACTGAGACTAGTTTACATCCACATGGAGCCAATGAAATGACTTAGACACACAAGTAGAATCCAAAGGCCTTCTACAGGCATCATCCACATGAACTCAATAATATTTTGACCAAGAAACATCAAACAAATGGCTAAGTCATCCATATTTGTTTATAGAAACAGAGGAGTTTGTGATAGCACTTCAGGATCAGATCATTGCTTACAGAAGTTACAAAAAGAAACCCAGACTTATTATTGATTCAGGTATTACAAGGAGATTGTAGAAACAGTATGACATATCATTGCAGTTTTCAAAAATTTGGTACCTACTGAATACCTGGAAAAATATGACCAAGTGGCCAAAATAATACACCAGAAACTCACTATCACTAACACAACAAATCTTATTACAAACACCAAAATATCCTTGATTATTTAACAAATAAAGTATACTAGGCCCAGAGCATCATTACAGAAAAAACATTGGCCACAAACTCCTGGATGTTACACTAATCCATAAAAATTTAAGAACAATGTTCATTTTTTTCCCTACTATATTAATTAACAAGCATTTATTATTTGCCTTCCTCTCTCCCTCCTTTCTCTCCTCCCTACCCCATCCCCATTAAATAACAACAAAATAAACTTTTGTAGCAAATATGTAGTCACATAAAGCTAATTCATTCACTGACCAAATCCAAAGTATGTCTCATTCTGCATTTTGAGTCTATCATCTCTCCATCGTTATGTCTATTTTACAGATGAGGTTCAGGGAAGCTAAGAGACTTGCCCATGATCACATAGCTAATAAATGTCAGAACCCATATCTCCTGGATCCAAATCTAATATTATTTCCATTCCATGACAGTGCCCTGCTGAACTCGGTTTAAAATCTCTGGTTGCATTCTTGTGGCTGTTTCTGGTCTTCTGTTAAAATCACATTGAGCATATAAAATTTCCGGTTTAGGGCTTCCTGAAGGGGACTTCACACCAGTAAAGTTAACACAGAGGGCTTCCTGATGGAATGATTTCCTACATTTTAGTTGTCCTCTGTACACAGAACTTAGCTGATACACAGACCCTTAGTTTTATCAACAGTTTAAAACTCCTACAATTGCAGTTGAGCTACCCCATTTCATTTAAGCCATCTACAGAACGGACCCATAGCTCTATGCACTGCATGTAGACTCTAGATATTTGGGCTGTACATATCAAGGAGACTTTGGAAATCACTTTTTTATATAAATGAGGTGATCTATAATGTATTAATTCTTGCCCAGATTAAGAAACAAGACTACAATTTGAGATCATTAGATATGGTTAGTTGCCTTACAGCAATTTCTTGTCCTTGTTTGTTTGTTTGTTTGTTTGTTTTTTTGGTTAGGCAATTGAGGTTAAGTGACTTGCCCAGCGTCACACAGCTAGTAAGTGTCAAGTGTTTGGTCTGAGGCCATATTTGAACTCAGGTCCTCCTGATTTCAGGGCTGGTACTCTATCCACTGCGCCACCTAGCTGCCCCCTGTCCTTGTTTTTTATTGGTTTCCCTTTTCTAGTTCAAGATGTGAAATCTTTAGGTTGGTATTAAAAATGGTCTAGACACACGAACCTACTCATCCACAACATGTTTTCATTTATGTCTTTGTGTTCCCTAACATACTGTATTGTACCTAATAGGTGTTTAAAGAATATTTGTTGAATAGAGTGTCTCTTGCCTTCTAGCTCCAGTCGCTGCAGTCAGAACTTCAGTTTAAAGACGCTGAGATGAATGAATTGAGGACCAAACTGCAGAACAGCGGAAAAGCCAGTAAAGCCAACACCACCCTGTCCATCTCCCATGTCAGGTACAGTATGTCCTGCAGAGAGAAAGAAGGTGCCTCTGGCCTTATTTAGGAAAAATCAGCAGGAGAGTCCTAAGTGAAGGTCATTAACAGTCCTTTTTTGGTAAAGACACAGACTTTGGGAAGATTTCCAAACCCCAGGTCATAACTCCTAGTCAGGAGCCTTGATTTCACATTGGAAGGACCTAGCACCTCAGAGGTGTTCAGGTTTCGCCATACTTTGAGTTAGGCATAAAAATTAAATTTGCTTAAAATAAAATGATTTGTTCTTCAAGCATTTTTTGACTGTTTAAACATTTTTTAAATAATAGAAATTCAAGTCTAAGCCAGCAACTCAGACCTAGCTAGTCAGAATATCTATTCTCCATCTGTTGTCTTGTCACTCACTTCTTTCTGACAACCTCCTCCTTTCCTTTTGGTTGTAAGTGCCTGTTTTTCTTTCTTTCTTATTTTCTTATTTTCTTTCTTTATTTTCTAAATTAACCCTGTGTATATAAAAAACTAGGAACTTATCCTGAAAAAATGGGACTCTGTCATCCTTGGAATTTGAATACCACTGCTAAAAGTATTTTTCTGGCATTGGACTTATTGTCCCTGAAGGACATACGTTTGCTCAAATGAGCAAGGTATGAGCACCTTTCTCAATTTGCATCTGAGGAGCACATGGGTAGTTCAAGTGAGAAAGCTGAAAGGCTCAGGGCTTTGTCTCTGCAGCAGGTTCATAACCCTCCTTCCACAAGTTCCTGAAGAGTTGTCATAATCCCTCATTTTCTGACCTAGGAGCTGAAGCTCAGGTTTCTGTGCATTGGGGAAAACAAAGCAAAACTATTCTTGGCCTTAAATTGAGATCTGCAGAAAAACTTCCTAAATTTCCCTTATGCTTCAGGGTAGCAGACACTGTACACATCCTCTCCACATTATCTTTACCTCCTTTTTCTTGAGTCTTGTGTCTCAGTCCTTAAATACTTAAGGTAATGACTTCTCTACAAAGAAAAGATGCTTTGATGAAACTAAGTAATAAATGTGGCTAACATTCTTAATTAACTAGAAGGGCCCAGTCTACTTTCATTTCCAGGTGAATAGGAGATGTCTTGCACTTTGCAAGTGCAAAATTTCAGCTGAAAAGTGGTACAAATATAATAATCAAAACCTTATCCTGAATTTAGCAAAGAGAAAAACATCTTACCATGAAATTTTCTAGCATGACTTTTGAAAATTTTTGTTACTTAATATTTTTAACGGATTTCAGTAGAATCATTATTACTAAATTTGATTTAACTTTTTCTAGTCCTAGGAAAAGTCCTTCCAGAGTTATAAAGCCAGAAGCTTGCTCTCCACAAATGGAAAAATCATCTTTTCCTACAAAGGAATCCTTCAGTGCCAACACATCCCCTTCCCAACACATCCCCTGTCAACCATCAACACAGCCCTGTGTCTTGGCTCTATCCTACAGAGAGGGTAAGCACCCACCAAACATTCTGGAAACACAATTGGTTTTCATTCAATAACCAGTTATTAAGTGCCTACTAGGTTCCAGCTTCTGGAAGAAATATACAAAGATTATTAAAATAGGATCACTGACCTCATGTAGTCTGCATTCCTCATAGGAGGCTACAATATATACACACAATACTGTGCAATAAATGCAAAATAACTAGTACAGAAGTGGATATAGAAGGGTACATGATGCTGTGTGAGGTCAGAGGAAGGAAAAATTTCAGGCTTGAATCTGGAGATGGCTTCTAGAAGTAAGTGACATTTGAACTAGACATTGAAGAATGGCTAAGATTTCAAAAGACAGAGACTGAGAGAAGAGAGGAACAGGGTAAGCAAAGACATGGAGATGAGGCTATGTGTGAGGAAAAAATCCAGTTAAAATTGTAGCATGCATGGAAGAGAGTATTGTGAGATAAGATTAGAAAGGTGTCTCGTTGTGGAATCGTTGAAGGGTTTTAAGTAAAGGAATAATAGTGGATTTGTACATAAGGAAGACTAATTTGACACTCATATAAAGAATGGATTTAAAGGAGGAAGAGTAGAGGTGGGAAGATCTGTTAGCAGACTAGTGCAGTATTCCAGGTGGGTGGTAATGAGGGGCTGTTTTGGGTGGTGGCAGTGGGAGAGGAGAAGTGGGACCAGGTAGCATCAACAGGACTTGGTGACTCATAGGCCATGGCCTGTAAGGGAGAGGGATGATATGCAGCATTTGTTCTGATTCACAAAAGCCACCCTTGTGTTTTGGTTCTCTCAGTCAAGATTTGAAGGGATGCTGCTTTTTTCTTCTGTGGAAACAAACTGGCAGCGTAGGGTTTCATTTTGAGACCACCATCTAGGCTATTTCCTATCAACTCTTTGTGACCAGGAGATGAAGAACTGTGGATTAAATGAAATTTAAGTACATTTTAAAATGTCTTTCTTTCCATTCTCTTAACTTAGTTATGATACAGAATCTTTGTTTTCCTTCTCTACAACATCTTTATCTCTGAAAAGCTTCCTGTGTCCTCATACTTTTGGCACCTAACTCACAAAAAGCAGTTAGCTGCAATTTAGTGTTTATCTATAGTTCAGTTAAAAAGAAAAGACAAATTTTATTTTCTTCTCCATTACATGCAGTGATTTTTCTTTTTTTAATTCTGGAGCTGAAGATATTAAAGTTTTTCTGGAAGGCTTAGTTCTTGTTTCATTCTGGCTTTGGGTTTGCCTACAATGGGATGTCCAGAGTTTAATGGGACTGATTGATTAAGTTGCTTACTCCCTTTCTCCAAGGCAATCACACATGTACATTGAGCCAAGAGTTTCTGGGCTGTCATGTCTTTTGTAAACAGCTTACAACTTGTGCTTCTCGTTTCAGACAATAAAAACCACAATTTGGGAAATGAATCTGTAAAACAGGAGGAGACACAAAGAGATCTTACTTCCAGTTGTATTCAGCGACCAAACACTCAAGGTACTGAAGTTAGTAGTCCCAGACGCTGGACACCTTAGCTAAGACTGCTTTTCGCAGCCCCACAGAAAATTCCATGATGTGCAAAGGGACAGTTCCCTTTTGGTGGAGTAGGGGAAAGGTTGGTGGGGAGGAAGGGCAGCTCACAACAAGATTTTCTTCCTTCTCCAACTTGCCTGGAAACTGAGGTTCAATAGGAAGTGATGATGAGCCACTTAAGGCCGACACTGATCAGTCCTTTAAACCTACTTTATAAAATGAGAAATGAACAGCAAGAGGAGAGGCCTTTTTGGTTAAATATCTCCAAGCAGATGTATACAGGAACCTCGGACATCTAACATACAAGAAACACAGGGCTTTTCAATGTGGGCTTGGTTCACATGGTTGGGGAGTATCTCAAGTGAACTTCAAAGTTTCCTTTGGATGCCCTGGAAAAAGCTTCACATCAAGATCAATTCAACCTCCTTTATCTCCTGCAGGTTCTGTTTTAATAAACTTGCTTCTGAAGCAGCCTCTGACCCCAGGGGCATCCCTAGGTCTCTGTCATCTTCTGAGCAGTCATCCTGAAGCCCCTGCTGGCTTTTTCCAGCCTCAAAGATTGGGCAGGTAAGGGTACAGCTTCTGAGCAATTCTTCTCAGGAAAGGACTGGTGAACATTCTTTCTGGGCAGCTAGAGCTGGCCCTGTCCTTACTGGCCCATGTGTTTTCTGGGTGGGTGGATATGAAAAGTTCGTTAGAGAAAAGTGCTTGGGGCCTCTTGGCTATAGTTTGGCCTGCTTGCAGCACACACTGCCTCCTCCCGGGTTGGGATCATGATGCAGTGCAGTGTCATACACTACTATAGAACAAACACTTACCAAGTGGCAGCTTTATACAGAGCATTAATGGACTGCCCTCTTTTGTGCTTTTCCTTAGTGCTTCATCAGGAACGTCAAGCATCCAGACCACGTGTTCCAGAGAAGGCTCATTCTCTGCCTCATCCCTGAGAGAAGCACAGAGCCTGGCCATCACGGGACTAAACCTAATTGCCAGGGATGAAGGTTCATCTGATGAAGGCCTCACTGAGGGGAAGAGGAGACCCTCTCAGGACACTCAGCTCTGCCAGCTCCCTGGGGCTGTGCACCTTCTCCCCCTTGTGAGGCATTACATTGACCTCTACTGCCAGACTCTGCAGGTTTTGGCCACAGTGAAAAGGAACAGTTCTGCAGACTCATCAGCCTGCTCCTCTCGAGTGAGCACCAGCGTGGAGGCCAACACGGAGGATTCCTTGTCAGCTCTGGAAGGGTTCACTGTGGTGGCACTCGGCATTCTTCAGCACCTGGTGTGTTACAGTGGGGCTGTTGTTCAGACATTACTGTCAGTAGGAGGGAGAAGAGATGCCGCTGATGGAGAGGATCCTACCTTAGGAGAGAACAAGAACGCTGTGTGCAGAAGGAGTCATGGGAAGCCATCAGAAAACCCTATGGTGGAAGAACAACCGGCAGAAGGCCCAGAGGAGACTGTGAATAGCCAGAACCAACATCCATTGTTGAAGATGCTCCTTCACTTGTTGTCTTTCTCCTCTGCTTCAACAGGTCACCTACAAGTTAGAGTCCTGAACCAGTGCCTTAAGGTTTTGGTGAAATTAGCTGAAAACTGTGCATTTGATTTATTGCCCAGGTAAAAAGCAGACAGGAATCAAGTTTCTCTTCAGCCTTCTCCCTGAACTTTTAGCAAATAGTACATACTATCCTTAATTTAATCCATACTTGCTTAGTTATGAAGCATAGTTTTGGAAGTCACAAAGCATTTATGGCATATCATTTGATCCTTGGATCCTACCTGGAGGCTGGTACATGGTGTGATTATTATTATCCCTTTTGCAGATGAGAAAATTGAGCGTCAGAGAAGGAAAGTGGTATGTGATGTGCCCATGGTCACACAGGTATTGAGTGGTAGAATCTGGACTCCAACCTAGCTCTTCTGACTTCAAGGCTAGTGTTCTATTACACTTCCTTATAGGGAATATTCTTATCTGTGAGAGAGTTGGATTAGGTTTGGAGAAGGGAAAGGGGATACCTTTTGTTTAATTCTACCTTTATATGACAGGTAAGATGGGGGCTATACGCCACAGTACACAAAGAGTTGTAGAGGAAAAATCCAATTTGAGACACGAATGTCCATTTCCAGTGTCTTGGCAAAGAGTAACAGTATTTGATACCCTGCATCCATCATAGTATATGAGTCTATGTCTAGATGTAGTTGGTAGGTTGCTGATCCCTAAGCTAGATCATATAAGTTAGTTTACCAGAAGTCCATGTCAAGTTATTGATCCTTGTTCTGTCTGTCCTTCTGGGCACGGTACTGTGTTATGATGAGATTGTGTAATATTTTCCTTTCCAGAACATCTTTATGTATAAAATCTCAGTACAGTTGAATCCAGCTAAAACAAAATATTATTTTACCCATCTGGATTAGTTATAGGTCAGATTATTGTGTGATCTTTGGCAAATGTTAGGATCTCTAGGTTTGAGTTGCCTCATCTGTGAAATGAGGGATTGGATTAGTGATCCTTTGGGTTAGCTATAGCATTTTGAGTTCATATGAGTCTGAGGCACCTCAGTTTAATAGCAATTCAGTAAAGGCTAATGAGAATGTATTGTCACTGGTAGTTTCCTTCCTGTATAATAGTGGTTAGTTCAGTCTCACAGGACCCACTGCAATTCCAGACTTCCAGCAACACAAACTGATCTGTTATGTAAAAGGGAATTGTTCTAACTTACATTCTTTGGGATATAGTTGAATGATTAACAGCCCACTTATGTCTCATTGAAGGTCTCTAAAAACCACTTTCCAAAATCTGTAAGAAAAAGATCTAAAGTAGTACCAGTATTCAGTATAGCAAATTTCACCCTGTCCTACAATGTCAAAGTTGCAAGAGACCTTAGAGATCATCTAGTCAGAGTAAGGGGTTTGTCCTGTGATTTCTATTAACCTAAAATGCCCTAGTCATGAAACTAAAACATTTGTAAGTTGCCACATTGTGACTGCTTAATAAGAAATATCCTGTTATACCACATTCTCTATATTAAAACATACAGTGTATATTCTTATACCACATAAATACTGGAAAGCTCACTACTCCTCTGCCTGCCATGTAGAAGCAGAGATTTGTGCTTGGAGTGAACCTGTTGTCACCACATAGCCTTTGGCCTCACAGGTGCTTTCCTTCCTCATTGAAGCAGCTAAATTCCACCAGCCCACTTTGGACTCATTCTTTTTTCGGCCTGTAGGAAAGCAGAGCTACATATTCAGAACTTAAAACCAAGGAACCCTCCCCCGTGGCTACTTTGGTACCAGGGCCCAGTGGATCTAGAAGTGGACCATCCAAAGTTCTTCCTTAGCTTTGTTTTAACCACTGTGACCTGTACCACACCAGTAATCCCCAAGTCGGCACACTGTCTTTGGGCATGAACCAGGGTGCAGACTCACGTTACTCTTGTTACGAGGAAGAAAAGTCTCTTATACGTGGTTCCTCAAGGGCCTCAATCTGTTGTTAGGTCCACACCTTTCACATGCCTGTGGTCTGGAAGTGGGTCAGGGCATAGGCTAACAATGTTTTGTACAAGCAGGGAAAAAACATCAGGGGGCCCAGGATGGCTAAGGCTGCATCTTTGTGTGCCTGTGCTCATTTCCACAGACAGTCTGGCTTGTCCTTTATTTCACCCTGACCTACAATGTCAAAGTTGCAAGAGACCTTAGAGATCATCTAGTCCAACATTATTTTTAGAGGAGACAGGCCTAGAGAGGGGTTATAGTGACAGAAGTAGGACAAAAACTCCCAAATCCCAGGCTAAAGCTTTTTGTGTTACACCTTGCATCAGGGGATGTGTTCCCCCTCACTGTGGGAATGGAGAGCACAAAGGGCATGGAAACATTTCATTTGCTCTCTAATTTGCACCCTCTGGGTGCTGGAAGGCTGCTGGGGAATAGGCCCTGAGCTGCCTGCATCCTGAGAATCCAGCTGCTCTTTTATTCTCTAGTGAGGAGACTATGGCATGTCCTATAGCACAGAGGTTTTGATTGGTGCAGCATCCTTGGTTGTCTGTTTTCTAGGTTCCAGTGTGTACTGAGCAGCCACGGGTTGCTCCAGTGCCTTTCCTCAACAGCCCATCTGTCAGCTGTCCTCCTGACTGTTCATCTTCTGTCTCTGCTTGGTGACCATGAGAAGTTAGCTCCTCAGCTCTGCTCCCAATCAGGTAAAAATGCAGTTCTGGAAACCAAGGGGCTATCGTGGCAGAAGCAGAGTACTGTGTACTCACGAAGCTGGTAGTTCAGTGTATAGAGCCCTGTACCCGGAGTCAAGAAACTTAAGTTCAAATCTAGCCTCAGACATTTACTGGCTGTGTAGCCCTGGGCAAGTATCTGTTTAACCTCTGTGTGCATTAGTTTCCTCAGCTATCAAATGGGGACAATAATAGCTCTTGTCTGGTAGGGGTGTTGAGAAAGTAATTGTAAAAAGTGCTTAGTACAGTGCCTAGAACATAGCAGGTGTTATATAAATGTTTATTCTTTCCCTCCTTTGTCCCTCCTCTCCTGTCTATCAGAACTACTCTATTCTGTCATTAGAAGGCCCTGAACACCTCAGTGATGAGACTAGGTAGAGTTAGAAAGTTTGTTATCCTCAGGATGAGTGCTGCCTGTCTTAGTAGGAAAGAAGGGGTGCACAAGATGCCAAATTTCACCTGCAGAACTGTCTGAAATCTTCAGCCGTACCTGCGCTGAGCCTGGTCAGGTGAACAAAGGGGTGATTACTTAGTGAAAGAAATGGAAACTTTTTTTTTTTCCAGAAACCTGTCTTCTCCTCTTGCTGTATATGTACATCACGTCAAGGCCAGATAAAGCAGCTGTGGACTCACAATGGTTTCAGCTGGAACAAGAGGTAAACACCAGAACTTGTTGGTTTTTCAGAAGCCACTCAAGAACTTGCTGAAGAGTTCCTAGGGGAGAAAGTCTTTCATTTCAGTCTCAGGGGAAGGAGGCTTTCATTTGTTCAGCCACAAGTGCCCAGCCCTGTTCTAAGCATTGTTGGGGAGTAATCCCTGTCAGAGAGGTCACAGTCTGGTTGGGAGACAGAATCCATTTGCATAAAGCAGTTAAGTAGCAGCCTGAGCCCATACATTCTCAAATGCAGAGCAGACTTTGTTTTGAGTGCTAGTGATGGTCTTTACCTTGGTGGGTATCTCTAAAAGTGGGGTTCCGGAGCAGCTAGGTGGCGCAGTGGATAGAGCACCAGCCCTGAAGTCAGGAGGACCTGAGTTCAAATCCGGCCTCAGACCAAACACTTGACACTACTAGCTATGTGACCCTGGGCAAGTCACTTAACCCCAATTGCCTAAAAGAAAAAAAAAGTGGGGTTCCTTTCTGCTTGGATTGGCTGTACTTCTGAGTACCTACTAGTACTCAGGGAATACCTCCTTTTGTCCAGGTAAGCAGTTGCTGAGTTAGCTGAATCAAAGTGGAGGGCAGTCCAAGAAGCCTGGTTACTCTAGAAGGGTTCTACTCCTGCCTGCAGAGTTTGTGGTAGGACCTTGCGTCCTTGTGCTCTCTTGTCCTAGACAGTGTGGTTCCTGGCCAAGATCATGCAGAGCCCTGACTCTCCTATCTCCATTATAGGATCTGACTGCCAGTGCAACCTGGAGGTAAGTGGCCAGGGAATGAGAGGATGGGTAGGGCAGTATTGGGGCATGTCAGTTCTGCCCCTTGTTTACCATAGCAATCAAAAACCACACTTTGTTCATTGCCCTTCCTAAGCCCTTATTCCTCCTCCAGACCTTGAATAATGCATACTAAATGTTCTGCTGAACCAGCAGCAAGTACTTGTTATGAAGGAAGAAGGCCATCTGAGCCTTCTTCCTCTATGTGCCCGAAAATGGTTTCTTCTACTTTACAGTACAATTCATGTTTGGCTACACTTCAAAGAAGCCCTGCCACCCCTGTAGCAGTTACACAGTGATCTGAATCATGCTATCAACATCGTGACCTCTCCCAAGCAGTGATGCAGTGACCCTCGCCACACATGTGTGTATACATACATACCTCTGGAACTGTGGTTCTCCAAGTGTGGCCCAGGGCCCCTAAGGGGTCCCCAATATACTTTCACGGGATCTGTGAGGTCAAAACTATTTCCATAATAATACTGTGATGCTTTAAATTCTAATATGGTAAATATTGGCTGCTATAACACACATAAACAAAATGTCTTTTGGGGGAAGGGGTTATCAGTGATTCTTAAAAGTATAACAGGGTCCTGAGACCAAAAAGTTTTGAGAACCACTGATACAGAGAAAAATGTTTTTCAGTTTTTCAGATTTTTGCCTTTTTGTGGCCTCAATTCTGAATCTTCATTAACCTCCAGCAAGTAAGAACTTGCCTATTCAGTGTGGCTTAGACCAGGCAGCTGGGTTGAACCATATCCATAAACAGAAGCACCATTCTAACTACCATTGCCATACTCAGTAAACTCCAGTGGCTTCTTATTGCTTCAAGGATCCAATGGAAACTCCTCTGTGGGGCATTTAAAACCTTCACAACTTGACTGCAGCTTACTTTTCTGGCTTTATCATACATTAGTCCCCATCCTGCACCCTTCAGTTGAGCCATACTGCCCTTTTTGCTGTTCTTTGCAGGACACTCCCATCTTCCATTTCTGAGCCTTTATATTGGTTATTCCCATTCCTGGGATGTTCTCCCTCCTCCCCTCGACCTCTTAGAATTTCTTGTTTCCTTTAAAACACTGCTCAAGCACCAACTTTTTCATGAAACCTTTCCTGTGCCCCCTTCAAAAACCAAAAAAATTACCTTATATTTGTATATATTCTGTATCTACATTTTATTTATACATATGTGTATGTGTAATAGTGTTCATATACACATATACATATACATGCATTTCTATGTGTATATCATCCCTCAGAAACTATAAGCTTTTTGAGGTATGAACTGTTTCTTTTTGGTCTTTTGTTTACCTGTCACAGGCGTATGGTACATAGTATCTGTTTAATAAATGCTTGTTGATTGATTCATTTGTTGAAACAGTATTTAAAATGAAATCAGTTACAGGAAGCATTCTCTTCCCCTTCAAAACCAACCCCTAAATAAAAGTCCTCCATTATCCTATACTACTAATGCCTGTTCTTCATTTTGTTTCCCAGGTAGTCAAAGCACTCATAGTGATGTTACACAGACAGTGGCTGACCATTCGAAGGTTGGAAGGCCATATACAGATGGGTCAGAGAAAGCAGATGGTCCGGTGTCTCCGGGACACCTTGTTGTTATTGCACAGTTTGTCCCAGAGAGACACCCTATTCCATGTGCACTGCATGGATGTTCTACACCAATATGACCAGGTGATTCCTGGTATCCAAGCCCTCCTTCGAGGCCTCCCTGACAGGACAAACTATGAAGGTGAGAGAGTGAAGCTGGGTACTGGTCACTTCTGAGAGAGGTTCTCAGTCCTTGGGAGGCCAAAGGAAGGAAAACAGTGACCATATCACCAGCTAGGAAGCTGGGAGACCTCTAGGACAAGAACCTCACTTTTGTGCCCCCAGTAGCAACCCAAGATATGATCTATTATCTCAGTGGCCCTGCAGGTTCCAATCTGTCTTTTGTAAAATGTTGCTTAGCAGCCCAGCCCCTCCTATACCCAAACACTGAGGCCTGTGGGGTTTTCATCCATGTCTACAAATTCCTGAGCCAGCTATCTGGCACTCACATCTGCTGCCTGCCTTCACACCTCGTTCTGACTCAGCACCAAAGCCTGGGGCCAAATATGACCAGATGCTAGGGGTGTTGGGGAAGGGAGGGGAGGAGAATAGAAGGGTCAGTGGGCAGGCAGGCAGTCCCTGAGGTACTGCTGCAGGGGGCAAAACAACTGGCTGGCATCATCAGTTCTCAATCTGATGCTTTGGATCAAGCCAATCACAACTTAATCTTTTTGTTTCTGGTTTAGAAACAGCTCTAGAAGACCTGTGCCGAACAGAACCAGACGTGGATGACCCTGACACAGACCCTAGCTAAACCACAAGGTGGTACTTAGACTACCAGTTTTTCAACTGTAGACATGAATTTTACAGAGTTTTAAAAATTACACCAACTGATTAAAGGTGAATGTCATTGACACATCAAAGAATGTTACTGATCACTATATTTTATCACTTTTAGCTCCTGGGTCCTTCCTAATTCTGCAGTTGGAAGAACCTCTTAAGCTAGATTTATAAATTTTAGAATTGTAAGGAGCTTCAGAGGTAATCTGATCCAACCTCTTTATTCAGAGATCAGGAAACTGTTGTTAGGTCACTTGCTCAAGGTGATACTCCAGCAGTAGCAGAGCTGGGCCCTGAACCTAGGTCTCCTGCCTCCTCACTTATTTCTTCCCATCAAGGCTCACGGTGCTGCAGAAATCTCATCTGATATGTACACATTAAACACAAGGAGCCCCTCCCCCCACAGACACTTAGTGCCCACCTGTTTGCAACTGAGGAGCATCTCCAGGAGACCAAGTTGAGGTTTCCATTTATATTGAAAGTAAAGCAATACCTCCTCCCAGTGTAACCTGCCTCCACTTTGCCCATCCCTGTTTAGAAAGAGCACGCCAGGGCCCCAGAAAAGTTGATGTGCCAGTAAGACACCTGTGTACTCCATGAGTATGTGGAATCACCTTCTTCCTGTGTCCACCACAACCATTCCCCTCCCACCCTACACCCCACATATAAATGCACTGCTCTTTAGAGCTCTGGTAGGAAACTACGTAACTCCCAAGTGGGTCCCACCTTAATTTCCTGGAATCCCCAAGGGGAGCCAGCACTAGGCTGGATGCCATTACTCTGGTGCCCTGGACAGATGCTGGGAACGCTACCAGTTATCACGGTGAGGCACTGCACCAATCTTCTTTCCCCAAGAGAACAACGCTGTGCCTGAGACATCCTGGGGGGTGGGGCTCTTGGCAGGTTCGGGCAGTCAAAGGACCCAGAAGGACCGTCTCATTCTGCCAGGCTCTGGGCCCCAGGGCCTCTGGACAGATCCTGCCATCCCCGAGCCCCCACCTTCTTTCTAAATCGGAGGAAGGCGGCTGACGGAGAAGACCCTGCCGGCCCGGGGCCGCTCTCGCTCTCCCGCTGCCGTGCAGATGACAGACAGCCGTGGATGGGAGGGGGGGCAGGGAGCGTGTCTGCGCCCCTCCCTGGGCGCTGGAAGGCGGAGCGGGGGCGGGGCTCGGTCCTAGCTGGAGGGTGAGCTTTCGTTTCCCCAAAGTCGAGCCTGGAGAACTAGGAGAACTTCCCCGAAGTCCCGACCCTGCCCGTAGCGCCCAACCCGCTCCTCCGATCCGGCCGGTAAGTAGAGCACATCCCGGGGAGGGAAGGGGAACACATTGAGATTGCAGGACTGAAACCTTGCCCACGCCGGCGTGGGGAGGAGGAGCCGGAGCCCGTGCAGACGCTACCGCGACTCTGCTGCACAATCCTGCTATCAGGGAGGGCACGAGCTATCTCCAGAAGGCCCTTCCAGCCCTAGAGCCCCCGGGATGGCTTACCCGGCTTCAGATCCCTGCCCCCCCAAGCTGGCCTCCGGCCCGGCTTGGAGCCGAAACCACACCCAACAATCCGGGCCTTGGGCTGAGTCAGCCTCCCACCCCCGCCCTGGCTCAGGGGCTCCACTGACCCCCTGAGCCCCCGCCCCCCCCGCCCCCGCCCCTGCTCCCCTCTTTTCCGCCCCAGGCCCCCCCCCCCCCCAATCTTCTGCGAAGTCCTCAGACGTAGATTGCTCGGCCTCCTCACCTACACTATGTCGTCCCCCTACCCTCTCCTAAGTCCATGAGCTTCAGGCCCCACAGCCTCCCTCCGCCTGCACTATGTCCCCCTCTCCAAACCCGTGAGCCTTAAACCGTTCTATCTCCACCACCCCCCATGCTAGATCCATGAATTTCAGACCCCAGTGTGGCTCTCCACCTACACTTACTGTTGTAGTGAGTAACCCCCACTCAAAGTCAATGAGCTTCAGACCCCACTGCCTCCCACCACATTCACCATGTTTCTCAAATTCAGGTCTATGTGCTTCATACCGCGCAGCTCCTCGCCCCCCTCTTCCCAGATCCATGAGGAGCATACATATACCTCCATGCCTGCCTCCACCTTTACTCCCCGTGTCCCACGACCCCAGCTCCCTGTTCAAGCCTCTCTATCCCTGTTTCCCTTCACTCACTATCTTCCCAGGTCCATGGGTTTGGAAGCTGCCTCCTCTAGACCCATGGAGACACTTGTCTTCATGGACCTAGAAGCCACAGGACTGCCATTCTCTCAGCCAAAGGTCACGGAGCTGTGCCTGGTGGCCGTCCACAGACACGCCCTGGAGGGGCCCCAACCTGCACCTCCAACAGGGAACCCTTCCCAGGTGCCGCTGCCACCCCGGGTGGCCGACAAGCTCTGCGTGTGTGTGGCACCAGGAAAGGCTTGTAGCTCCGCAGCCAGCAATCTCACTGGCCTGAACACAGCCATGCTGACTGCCTACCGAAGGCGAGGTTTTGACTCTGGTCTTGTTGACCTACTCCAGGCCTTCCTTCAGCGGCAGCCACCCCCTGTCTGTCTTGTGGCCCACAATGGAGACCGCTTTGACTTCCCCCTGTTGCAAGCTGAGCTGAGCTGTGCTGGGCTAGGCACAGATGCCCTAAGTGGTGTTTTCTGTGTGGACAGCATCTCAGCCCTGAGAGCCCTGGACCACTCCAGCCCACCCCGGGAATCTAGCCAAAGGAAGAGCTACAGTTTGGGTAATGTCTACACCCGCCTATATGGCCAAGCCCCACCAGACACCCACACAGCTGAGGGTGATGTCCTTGCTCTGGTCAGCATCTGCCAGGCAAGACCCCAGCCACTGCTACACTGGGTTGACACTCATGCCAGACCCTTCAGTAGCGTGAAACCCATGTATGAAGCAGGAGCTATGACTAAACAGGGAACTGCCTATGATACAAAGACAAAGAGTGAACGCCAGAAGCTACGAGCAGCCACCAACTTGGCCATGTCAGGGGATACCAACCCAGCTGGCAGGAGGAGAAGAGGTAGACCAGAAGCTCCCTCCCACTCTGGGAGCATTCCTAGGACCTCGATTTTGAACACATCCCACCTGCTGGCAGTGTTGGGCCCCCTGGTCATCTTAACTGTGGCAGTAGCTCTGTACTGGGTACCTTGGTCATTCTAACCATGTCATTCACGTTGTCCTGGGTACCCTTGATCTCATCCAGACTTTGGATGGGGGGGTCAGCTGGTATTGTCAGGTCTTCCAAGGGAGGGTCTCTCTCATGGATGTGTTGTAAAACAAACTTATAAATAAAAATTCTAACACTTGGCCTAGACTCCCACCATGGGAACCTAAGGGGCCTGATCCAACAGCTCTTCTGGCCTCTTTGTTGTACCCCCACCTTCAAAAGCCTTTTAGGAGGGGATCACTTCCAGAGTAGGTAGACTTGGAGAATTGTTTTTAGTAAATCTAAAGGGGGAAGTGAGAAGGATCTGGTTACCTACCTTGGGCCAAGACCAAAGCCCTCCCACCACTTGTCATACATAGGGGTCAACATGGGAGACATCAGACAAAGTGGGGAGAAAACCTCTACAACTTAGCCCTAGTCTGAGGGGAGGACATCTGGCTTCAGAGCCCCCAATCTGAAGACAGAAAGAAACTGGCTTTCGAGACCCCCCAGATCTAATCTGACCACAGAGCTACAGTCTGGAAATCCAGAATTATCCCTGAGAGGCCCCCCAATCTAAGCTGACCAACCTAATACCATTCCCAATAACTGGGACCCAGAAGCTCCTTTAAATCCACCACCACCTCCAGAGTTACTGAAGAACAATCATTTTCAAATCCATAGGTTTATTACAAATAAGAGCTTGGCCCAAACAGGAACAGGCCCCTTCACAGAACACACAGAGGCAACTGGTTACAAATGAGAGAGTGAGAGTGACCCAAGGATGAAACCAGAAAAGTCTGTGCTCTGAAACCAAATGCCCATCCCCCTTCTAGACAGGACCCAGCCAACCCACAATCAGCCTTCAGTGCCATTCCACCTAACCCCCTTCCTTTTGGGTTTTGGGAGACGAAGGACAGGATTAACTGAAGAGGAGACCCAAGCTAGGTTATAGGATTCTGAAGCTGGGAGGGACCCTTATCTCAATCCATTTCCCTCCAATTACAGAAGAACAAAGAGGGAATTTGGTTGGCCCCCTCTCCTCTGGGGCATAGTCCCCTCTCCTTTTCTTCCCTATCCATCCTGCACCCCACCCACCATGGGCAAGCCTGAGCATATGCTACTTGCAGCTTAAATGTCATCAAAATCTCTTGCCCCAGGAGACAAACAGGTCCCAATAGCTACCAACCCTGGGATAAGTTTAAAAAAAAATTAAGAGAGAACAAGGGTTGACAAACCTGAGTCTGGATGTCCTTCCTGACAAGGGAATGAATGGGAGAGAGCAGCTCAGCAAACAGAACTGAGACAAGCCTAGCACCCATCTTATCTCCCTTCTCTGACAGAGGAAGGGACAAGATTTCTATCTACCTTCTTCAGCCAAGTGCTGGCCAGATCTGTTTAATGACTACAACAAACAATTCAGACCTCAGATCCAAGAGGATCCTTCCCAAATCCCAGAACACACAGATGCACCCTTCTGGCTGGCTCCAAGTTCCTCTCAGCAGCCAGGAGGGTGAAGTCCCCACCTAATCCTCTTTCCACATGGAGACTGGATGGAGAGGGAGAGCTGGGGCCCTGGCAGGGACCCCGAGACGGGAAGGAGCTGAGGGCCCTAGAAGCAGAGAGTGAATTATGCTGTGGCATCTGACAATGTCTCTTGGCCAGTACAGAGCTGATAAGAATTTTAAAGAAGTACCCTAAAGCTGACATGGTCAGAGAGCCAAAGCCACTGACCACCTGATGTTGCTGCTGTCCTCTCTCTGATCAGCAGGGCACTGTGGAGGACGTGGGTTCTGTGAGGCCTTCAGGAACCAGCACCAGGATGGAGGGCCTCTTCTGGTCTTCAGGTCAAGGTTGGCAACTCATGGCATGGTGAAAAGCCATGTGCTGACATGGGTATTTTCATCTATTCCTTTAACTACCCTTCAAACACTGCCCTAACTAATGCTGGTTTCACAAGCCTCTTCCTTTTTTCCTGTGACTTGGCAAAAATCACACCAACTCATTTTCCAGAATGATCTGAGGAAAGTTTTAGGAAATGTCATTTCACTGTCTCTCATCCCAGCCCATATATTGTGGGGAAACAGAATGTTACAAGTACAACATACAGCTTGCATTTACTTGGGAGAAGAGAAGATGACACAGACACTCATTCCCACACGCTCAAACACACACTGACAGGAAGAGGAGGAAAAGAGAGAGGGGGGTCTTCAGGGGCAGAGCACAGAAGCAACTCAATAGGCAGTCTTTGGAGGCTCCATGTATGCAGGGTTGTATGGAGGTTGGCTGATAGGGTACGGTGCTCCAGCACCTGCTGAGGAATAAACAGACACACCCCCCCCCAGATTAGTCACAATCACATCCCCCAAGTCCAGATTCCTCCATCAGAGCCAGTCTGAATTTTTAAAAAATCAGATATGTCTCTTAAGAAATATTGGTTTATTATTTCCCATTACCCATGTGCAATTAGCAAAGGGCTAATTAGTACAGGTGTGTCAGGGACCAGAGGGACAGTGACACTGATCAGGGTCTTGGAATAAAAGGGGAAGTAATGCCAAGGTAGTGTCCCCAAACAAAGCCCCTGAACTTCAAAGGGAACAACGCTTAAAAAAGAAAAAAAGGCAGGGGGAATAGAGTGGGGTAGTAGAGAATGATTCCTATAAATAGGATCCCAGAGGTCAAAAAATGCCACTTGAGAAAGTCACTGTGGCTAAAAGGGTCCGGGCTCCGAAATGGAGGGGAGGGAAAATGTGGAAGGATAAGGTGCACCCTTATCCTGGCTGTACTCACCAGACGGAGTCTCATGGTAGGCAGGAGGTCCAGTAGGCTGGGCAGGGTAGGGTGGCGGGTACTGGGTTGGATAAGGCGCAACTGGCATCCCAGGCTGGACAGGCATAGGTTGGTAGCCTTGATACATGGCCCCAGGGTAACCAGGTGGCACACCTTGCTGCTGTGGGTATGCAGAGTGGACCACAGTAGTCGAAGTGGTTGTCACCACAGCTGCAAAGAGAACACAGAGTAAGGCTCCTTCTCTCTTGGATCAGCAAAAGCCTAAGTCTCCCAAGACCTTCCCTATCTGTTTTAAGGTCTTCTTGAAAGAGCCCATTTTTTTTAGGGCAGGGCCTTAGCCTGACTCTTATACATTCCCCCAACACACACACACTCCCCCAACACACACACACACACACACACACACACACACACACACACACACCAGTCTCAAATATGCATACAAACTGTTATCCCTGGGATGAACAAGAAACTATATGCAGAGATAAACAAACCCACATACAAACCCGGGCCCACAGACACCCGACGTCCTCATGGGACATACAGAATTGCTCCTCTCTTTCAACCCTATCCCGGGGCTGCTGGAAAAACTGAGTGATTCCCAGTGATTCTTGAAAGTCAAGCTACAGGCCTCAGAAAATGTCAAGCTTCCTAGTTCTGTTCCACAACCAGATGCTGAAAAGGCTAATGTTGTTTGTCATAAATTAAATCATGGGGTGGAGTAAGAAAGCACTGTAAGAAAGAGTGGGAGGCAGAAGAGGACACAGTGGGGCCCTGAACAGAGGACAGGGACAGGCACCAGCCCAGAGATGGGCAAGGAAATACTGATGAGCACAGAATGCCTCAGAGGAGGCCAAAGCTCAGGACAAAGAACTGGGCACAAGAAGGGAACAGAGCAAGGCAAAGAGATAGGCCAACAGATGGACACAGAGGTGGGTAGAACACAACAGAGAGTGACATAAGACATAGAAGGGAATACAGAAACAGATAAGCACGGGGTAGGGCATACACAGGTATACACAGTGTACTAATCTAAGTCATCCAGGGGTATGAGAAGTCTGGGTAGCTAGATGCTGAAGTGGATAGACGGCTGGGCCTGGAATCAGAAAGGACCTGAGTTCAAATCTGGCCTCAAACACTCACTACCTGTGTGACCCAGGGCAAGTCACCTAACCCTGTTTGCCTCAGTTTCCTCATCTGTAAAATGAGAAGGAAATGACAAACCACTCCAGTATCTTTGCCAAGAAAACTCCAAATGCAGTCATGAAGAGTCAAGACACCACATGGCCATAACCAGGTATCAGAGTGCCCAATAGGCTATCTAACATACACACGAGCACGCATGCAACACACACACCCAATGAATCTTTTGGCTAATGTTAGGCCACAGGGTAAAGGAAAGAGGAATGTTGAATGGAAATAGGGAAAGGAAAATAAAGAAAGGAATGGATCCAGGAAAACAGATAATGAAACTAGTTTGCCTATTCTTAACAGATGCCTAGATCATAATGCTGTACACACAGTCAGATGTGGTTCCTGTATAAGGACTGTGTTATTATTTAACTGTTTTTTTTGTTATTATCATTGTAAACAGGAAAGGGTTCAGTTTGATTGGAGAAACACATTTACACAAATAATTATAATGTAAAAACAAAAAAACTTTTTTTTTTTTTAAGAGGAAGGGATGGGGAAATGAGATGGAGTTAGGAGTAGAGAGAATTGATGCAGTGGGGAAGAGGTAGGCAGGTAGAAATGGTAAAAGGTAGAAAGAGGTAAGGGAGAAATTAAAGTATGGGGGACATGAATGGAGTTGGAGGTAGGGAAAATGGTTGGGGTGGAAAACATAATGGTCTGGTGGAAAGTATACGGGACAAGGACATGAATGGGAAAAGAGAATGGATGATAGAAATAGAGGTTGGACAAGGGATAGGAATCAGGACTGGGAAGGGACACACTGGGGGATGGGGAAGGAATGGAATTCCGAAAGAGTGAATCTATAGGGATAAGAAGAAGGTGAAAGAAAAGGGATGAGGGACTAAGGCTAAACTCACGTCTGGGCCTTCGGCACATCTTGTACAAACAGCAGCAGGAACACGTTAAACAGAGGATGATGGTGACCACAATGAGCACAAAGATGGTTGCTCCAATGCCCACGAATGTCCCGAAACTGGGGGGGAAAATCAAAAGGAAGACTAGCTTATGCACTTAATCTCTTAGGACTTGAAATTACCCTATGCATAGGTACCCCCAAACATCCGATCATGACCCAATGATACCCAGTACAGAGAATATTTACAATATTGGGGTCCACAAGATTTATTAGGTAGCAAGTATACCCACACTGCAGTAACCAGCTATGCCTCTTCCCTCCATTCGTTCCACCATTTCTGACCCACGGAAACCTGTTTTCTCTGCTTTCCAACAGCCTTTACAATAGGTACCACTAATCTAATACCTGCACAAATTGCTCCACCTTCTCCTACAGACTGTTAGCTCCCTGAAGGCAGGGACTGGGGCTGATCCTCCCATAGAGGGAGGGGTGAGCGCTATATTTAGTCCAGAGAAAAAAGTTCAGGAGGGTTAAGTCCAGAATAAAATTATTTTAGCCTGTGGAATGTCATAAATGAAAGTAGAGTTGGAGGTGGGGTTTCCCCAAATAACAGGGCTAAAGAAAGCATTTTACCCAGATGTCAAAAATGTAAGAGGCTAAGGGAGGAAAGACAAGAACACAAATAACTGATACAAGGAAGAATGTGATAAGGGCAAAAAGGATATTCAGGTCAAATGCTCTAAGAAATCTGTAGAAGATACTGTTCAGCTGGGAGCTAGGACTCAGGAAGGCTCCCCCCAAATTATGATATGTATATTATATCTTTCAAAACAATATAGGCTTGAGGGCATGGGCTTTTCTTTTTTTTCTTTTCAGCACCAAGCAAAGTCCTGGCATATAATAGGTGCTTAATAAGTGCTAATTGAGGGATAGAATCTGTCCCACTCCCTCCCAAGGTGGAGTTAAGTGTCTCAGTCTCTGTGTCTCTGTCTGTCTCTGTCTCTCTGGCCCCCCCACCCCCACTCTATCAAGGCTTCAGACTCCAAATCCAGGACAGGCCATGTTAATGGCCCATTTCTTCAATTTGACACCATGGTACTAGACCTTCGAGGTGCTAGCAGAGCTGAGCCTTGGAGAAGGGGTGGAGACTCAACAGGTGATGGGAGAAGGGAGCAGCAGCCATTGTAGGCATCCGAATGAGCCAACACACTGAGATTAAAAAAAAAAAATTATCCACTGAGCCATCTAGCTGCCCTTGAGTCAGAAGGAAGACCTGAGTTCAAATGTAGCCTCAGACACTAGCTGTGTAACCCTGGGCAATTCTCAGTCTGCCTCAGTTTCTTCAAATGAAAAACAGGCATCAGAACAGCATCTACCTCACAGCATTTTAAAATAATTTTTTTTCCAATATTCATTTTTATAAGATTTTGAGTTCCAAATTGTTCTCCCTCCCTCCCCCTGTCCCCAAGACTGCAAGCAATCTGATACAGATTATACATGTGCAATCATGTTAAACATATTTCCACATTAGTCATGTTGTGAAAGAAACAGAATAAAAGGGGGAAAACCATGAGAAAGAAAAAAAAAGTAAAAATAGTATGCTTCGGTCTGCATTCAGACTCCATAGTTCTTTCTCTGGATGTACATATCATTTTCCATCATAAGCCTTTTGGAATTGTCCAGGGTCACACAGCTAGTTAAGTGTCCAAGGCTGGGATTGAACTCAGGTCCTCCTGACTCCAGGTCCAGTGCTCTAGCCACTGAGCCACCTGTCTCTGGGTGGCCTGGCAGCTAGTAGGTGTTTAATAAATGTTTATTCCCTTTGCTTCCCCTTTCCCTAGAATGAAAATGGACAATTTGGCTGGGCTGCGGCCAAACCAGTGAGGAGCTTTGAAAACCAAAATGAGAAGTTTGTATTTTAACAAGAAGGAGCCTCTGAAAGTTTCTGATTATGTTAGGAAAATGACTTGGGTAAGTGACATGCAGGGCAAGTCATCTGGAAAGGAGGGAAGATGAAGTCAGGGAGACCAATTAGGAGGCTAGTATAATAGTCCAGGGGAGAGGTTAAGAGGTCCTCAACCAGGGGGTGGCAATGTGAGAAGAAAAAGGACCTGTTTCCAGAGATAATGTGGAGATAGAATTGACAGGACTTGGCGACAGACTGGATGGGGGAGGAGGGCTGTTAAAGGAGAAAGTGATTCCAAGATTAGGAGACAAAGTGACCGCAAAGGCATTAGCACCATTAACAGAGACAGAGAAGTCAGGGGCCAGGGAATAAAGAAACACCAGGAGTGAAAAAGAACCGTACTATAGATTCCTATTATAAGAAGAGTGAAGATCAAGACAGAAATTCTGAAGAGGACAACACTGTCATCAAACCCACATCTGCAACATCAAAAGGGAATATGAATTGGTCTGAAGCCCAAAAGCCTTCTTAGAAGAACTCAAGAAGGATTTTAGAAGTCAAATGAGAGAGGTAGAGGAGCCCTTTAAAAGTTCAATTGGCCAAGTACACTGGAGAAGTCAGGGGGAAGATGAGTTCACTTTGAGGAATGTTGGACTTGAGGTTGCTGGTGGAGCCAGGATCAGGACCAGGGACAAGCACTAAGAATAGAGGAGAGGATATAACTCAACAGATAGGGAATTTTCTGCATAAAAGTGACTACAAAAACCACAGGGGTGGACACTATCAACAAGGGAAAAGAGTGCAGCAAAAGAGGATGTGCTTGCTAAAGGCCTTGAGAATGGTCTCCAAAGTGGGGTGTGCAAGGCAATCAATCCATCAGGTTATGGGATGAAAAATTAAAACTTGTTTACATTTATTTTCATTCTAAAAACAAGAAACGAATTAAGCTTTACTAAAATTGAATATGTGAGCTGATGCTGGCATCATCATTAGGCGCTCTCTCTCTCTCTCACACACACACACACACACACACACACACACACAAAACCACCTGCCCCGCAGAGTCTGCAGGACATCCTAAGGAAACCACAGACTGTGGCATGCTCATTCATCCCACTCATTCATCCAGTGGAAGCTCATACTAATACTGTGAGCACACACTGACAAAAGGGAACACAGCAAAGCGGACACATCTTACCAGCCTCTTATCAGCCACAAGGACGATCTAATCATCTCCCACAAGATCAGCCAAAAGAAATTTCTAAGTATCAAGAAGCTTATTTGAAAGATGGATTTCTATACACTATCATTAATGATGAACCCCCCCCAAGTATATGTTGTACCATGAGACATTCGTTTATGATAGCATGAAGGCACTGACCTAACAAGACATTTAAAGTCAGCTTTTACTGCAGAAAACAGTATCTGTGTCCCCTAGAAAAACTCCTATGTCCCTACTTAGAAAACTTAAGTTTTCTTAGGGGAACATAATTTTCTAATCTGTTTAACAATCTTCAGCGTTTCAATAGGTTTTGAACCCATTTATTAAAAATCTAAAAATGCAACACTTTCTATCAGTTTGCAAGAACTGATCGATACTTATGCCCACAACCTTTAAAACATAGCTTTCTCCATATGTTTACTCTGTTAATATAACCTCTTTTGCCCTCCCACTTGATGCAGAACCTCTAGATACACTCCCTTAAACTCTTAAGACATACATCCTATTCTATATATTCTTCCCAACCCTTTCCTGGCCCAACTGTTAAAAAAGCTGTCTCAGGGGCAACTAGGTGGCGCAGTGGATAGAGCACCGGCCCTGAAGTAAGGAGGACCTGAGTTCAAATCCGACCTCAGACCAAACACTTGACACTTACTAGCTGTGTGACCCTGGACAAGTCACTTAACCCCAATTGCCTTTACCAAAAAAAAAAAAGCCATCTCAACCTGTTGGCCTCTTTTTCCTCGCCTCTCACTCATTTCTCAAGCCTCTGCAATCTTGCCTTATGACCTCATAACTCAAAAACCAGTTTTTACACTTGGCAATTATTAGACTGTTCTCTCCAATGTTACCAATCATCTTTCGGTGGCCAAATCCACAAACCAGTTTCTCAGTTGGTCTTACTCTTGACCTCTCTGCAGCATTTGATACTGTGGACCACTGCCTCACTCCCAGAAATCCTCCCCTTTCTCTGGGTTTTCGTGACATTGCTTTCTCCTAATTCTCCTCCTTCCTAGAAGACTCCTCTGCAGGATAATCATCCTTATAAGAGGTTTAACTGTGAACCTACTGTAGGTTCAACTATTATAATAATAATGATAGCATTATTATTACATAGCACACTAACATTTATAAAGGCACTGTGCTATGTGCTTTACAATTATTAGCTCATTTGATCTTCAGAACAACCCTAGGAGGTAGGTGCTATTATTAATCCTATTCTACAGTTGAGGAAACTGAGGTAAACAGGTAAAATGACTTGCTCAGGGTCATCCAGTTGGAAAGTGCCCCAGGCTGGATTTGAACTTGGGTCTTCCCAATTCTAGACCTAGCACTCTATCCACTGTGGCACCTAGCCACCCCCACATTTCCAGCTCCAAGTGTGTCTCTTGAACTCTAGTCCCACACATCATTGATGGGGTACTTGTGCTTGACCCCCAATTTCTCCCTAGCCTCAGAAACCCTGTCTCTGGAAGTTTTACTCCCAGCCCAAGGACAGTGTGCCTAGCTTCGTAAGTGGGCCCCAGCAAGACACTACACTTATCTCTTTCCCCGGTGCAGTTACAAACAGCACCTGAAGGAATTCTCAGTTTGAACTGGCTTTGCACTGGGTCATAAAGATATTCTTATCCACTGGACTATCTATACTACTGCCCTACTTCGTTATCTACTTCCTGAACTACTCATTATCTGTATTCTAGACCTAAAATATACGTATACTCCCTATATCTAGCTTGTCAAACGAGACATTGACTGGTGGCAGACTGGACAACTCTCAGTTACCCCTGACCTCTAGTTAACTTAGTGACACAGTAGGCCTAAAATCACACCTCCACGTGGCCCACCCAGTAGGCTTTTCCCAGTGAACTCTGGGTAAAACACCTGGGCAGTAGAGACAAAAAGTGCATGTTCCTTTAAGAATTGACCACTCCTTAACCACTCCCTAATCCCGCCCTGAATCACCTAGTTAGCATATTTGGCACCTGTTTT